TTTCAATAGATAAGACTCATACAGGTTGCGAAAATTACGAGAAATTAAATCAATATCGTCTTCGAATTTGGAAGTAGAGTGATGAAGCATAATGAGTTGTTAAATGTATCAGGGTGAATAGAATCCGAAAATGAGAGAGCAGCTTAATTAAGAAGCTGCATGTCAGTGAATTTAAGCTGAACATTGAGCACGAAGAATAAAATTCATAGAAAACATTCATAACTATATTGTTGATTGTTTATCATTTTTGTCAAATACGAACCTCTAAGTCATGCTGTAGGTACCTGAGTAAACATGTTGCAGGTCGTCTTGACAGAATACCTATCCCATATTCAAAGTAAAAACACGAGCCTCATAAGTGGCAAGAATTGGAAAACAACATCAGTTTCACTGATCAGTCGCTTAATCAATTGAAAGGAGCCCGAAGTAAATTGATGTTTTGCCCTGAAAATATGAGCAGAATGATGAAATCCCCATCAACCTTTGAGGTTGGCCAGACAGTGAAATTAGGAGGGACAATTGAGTGCGTTTATCGAGCAGTTTCTGTATTTTTCAGTGGATCGTCACTGTTAAGTTTAGGACGGCAACGACGAAATAACCACTATTTGCTCTGAACGAAGAGATGACGAACCAAGGTTTATTCCGCTAGGCCAAAATACGTTCCGCATTATGGACGAAACATTTCTGAGTGACCCGCATTAAATTATATCGAAACACAAACTCTGTCCTCATTTTGATCAGTTATAATTTAATAAAGACGACAAATCATATCGAGATCACAGAATACCTCAAACGGTACAGTCTGTGTTGTACGGTCAAAGGTTTCTCCTGCACAAAATAGCGTACTAAGCAACAAAAGGAACAGTTAACAAATAAGTTTTCGGTGCACGAGAATCAAAAATCCTTTCCTAACAAGATGGAATCAAATATCCGCCAAAAAGAATTTGAGCAACTCTCTCCAGCAGTCAGTCGAGAGGTCGATAATCATCCAAGGAAACATGCCTTAAACTTGGGGTTAGTTAAACACGACCCGATTGTCAATGGCTCGTCAACAAACAACGGAAAATCAAAATAATGGAGTAGACGCCAACTGAAGTCGGATAATGATGACTTATGAAACATAAAACATGATTACAAAAGTCCTGAGTACAAGCTAAATGTAAATCATGGTGAAATAGTAAAGGGTGACAACACCCTGTGGAGGGATTTTCGGAGTATTCTTTCTCTTACAATGTTAGACTTTGGAGACTTTTGCAACCAGAATGATAATCTGGCTCTTCAGATGGATCTGACTGAACTTCAGAGTTAGGTGAATCACAATGGACTCATTTTCAACACTTCAGAGTGCGAATTAGTCCACTTGAGACATGCTGCGGACCTCTTGTAGAACTTATGTAACTTTCCTCTAGAGGCGTCTTAAGCTAAGAAATATCTAAGAGTGCTGGTGTCTTATGACTTAAAGTTACGCTAGCTTTAACAAAACTACCCCTCGAGTAAACCTTGAACTAGTAACATTGAAGCACAATTTTGGTCAGTTTGATAGTAGAACGTTCCACGTACTGTTTAATAGCTCTCTTCAGCCGTATTTGGAGTATGAAAATATGATGTCTCCTCCCTCACTCCAAAACGAAGACAATAAACTCGAATGTATCCATGAAATCAGTTCGAGGACCAAAGTTCATACCTAATGAAGAGCAGCTCAAGTCACTGGATCATTACCTATGTGAGTATGGTCGCCTCAGAGGCGATCTAATGGCTGATAGTACTATGGAACGGGCTCTCCAAATACAGATGATCGAGTTGCGGGACTATGAACGCGTCTATATACGGGTTGAATTCGGGTCTCACATGTTATAGGAAGAAAGAAGACGGGATAGACCAGATGAAATTGATGTATTTGCCGGCGATTTCGTGATATCGAAGAGATACCGAAACGTGCCAGAGAATCGACAACGTTACAGAGCAGCGAAAGCAAGATGGCGACCGGAAAAGAGAGAAGACGGAATGACCGTAGCGTAGTGTCAGTATATATACAAAAAGAACAAAGGTTATTGTGTATAAACCAAAGTACGAATAAACAAATATTCGGTAGTACGTTCTCTGGTACAATTGACTATAAAAATGAATGTTGCTATTTAAGAAATCATGGTTTTCATCGTAAAAGTGAAGTCGCTACAGTACTCTGAACACCTCTGAGCATCCCATTAATTACTTACATTATTTCGGTTTCAACACAAACCTTATGGGAAACACCCAGAAACCAGAATCGCAACGTAATAGAGTGTACTGAAGGCACACCTAATCTTTACAAGTATTGAAATTCCGGAATTCGTCACGGACGGAGGTGGTAAAAGCAACTTCTCTGGAGTTCTTCAAAAAGAAACTTGACATATTCTTAAGGACTTGAGACAGTATTTCATTGGAACCTACATATATTTCTCTTTTACTGGTTGAACATACCTAGGTTCCTATCTAGAGGCATTGGTGGTCCATTGCTAATAGATACGGAAGCCCGTCAAGCAAATGATTCTTCTATTTCGTCCACCACCATTTCAACCATTTGAAGCTGAGTACTTGACGATGCTGTTGTCCGTAACATATACATCCTGAGGCTGACAAGTAAAATATGAAAACACCTCAACTCAATTATTGCTCCAGAAGACGTATATCCGCAAGCGTGACAACGTAGGGAAAGTAATTTCAAGGAATACTAGACATAGATTCAAACCATTGGTGTTTAATTGACAGGGGATATACTGAGTAGCACAAGTAAACTATATGCAACAAGATTATTAGCACACAGTAATAAAACTAATTCAAGTTACAAAGGAAGGAGGTTGACGGTATTTTTGAAGGGTAGTCACGATGTTTAGAAGTAAGTGAACTGAGCTGAAGAAGGCTCCAAACAGATGACCTTGGATCGGTTGGAAACTTTAAGCTGTAGGTCACACTTTCGACGTACTGCTGTGGATGTCGGTTTCTGTAATAAGCTGGCTGGGTTGTTCTTTGCAGTACAATATACTGCGAAGGGTTAGTTGCACCCCGGATTTCAGATAACACAATCAAAATTCCACTCGGTTCATCAAAATAATTCACTATGTCACATTCAATATTTTTATCATGAGCGATTGGTTTTTTATTGTTGCTTCAGTTCTGTTCCAGGTATTTGGTAGCTTCCATTAGGCCGAATTTTAGCCACTGGCCTGCTCCAATTCTAGTCAGTTTAGTAGTTATGAGTTTATTAAAGATACCCATTGTGAAAATTAGAACGACACATGTGAGCGAACAATACTGTTTTCAATTAGATCGTCATCAGGCTTTATGAGTTATGAGTTTGCGATTCGGTAGAATTACTCTCTCCAGTCAGTTCATTTATCTCGGGATAGTAGAGTTTCTGGATACCAGCAGCTTGTCTGTGTCCTGTATGCAGTGTAAGCCGGTATTCTAACTTTTCATGCTTAACAACCTATGATCGCTCTCTGAGGAGACATTAGGTAGTGCATTTCCATAAGGGACACTAATTTGTGGCTTCGTCTTTAAAGATGTAATTCTCAAAAGATACACGAGGGAGAAGGAATCGTCAAGAGTCTAAAAGACGTGTTTGTTGGTCAGCAAGGCGTACTGGGTCCTCATTACCTGCTTCACCGCTGTGAGTTAAGGAGGTTTAGTTTCAGGGGCGTATGATACACTAAAAACTTCGATTGAACTTGTTTAAGAGGTTGTAAATAGTGGCTACTTTTATGACTGTATGGAAAAGCCTCACCACGTTTTCCATCTGAAATCTTAAGCTTATGTGTAATTTTGTTTTCTTATACCGTGAGTACTTCCAATGGATTGTTTTGGTAAATGATGTTACCAAATCTCTGCTGTTGGGTAGAACTTAGAGACTTGCTAAGCCGACATGACGTGTGAGTCTGAGAGGTGAACGGAAGTAACTAGACAGGTTATCACTTCACCTATTAGTACTATTTGCTTTTTCAAGGTGCCGTTTTGATGTAGTTACTTTATTGCTTATCTTGTTTTTATTATTCGCATATTTATAATCAGTAACCTGTATAATACACTCAATTGATAACTGCCAAGTATTAGTCGGTCACTCAAACTGTTAACTAAGTCAAACTCTGTTCTAGATTTTGTTAGCCAGTTGTAAACCCTATTGAAAGTGCATTTTCATGTCTAGTCATATGTTGTCAAAATTTTTGCAATTTTTTATTTCATTTGATTATTTGATTGTGTTTTTTAATTACGTATATGAGAGTATAATAAATGTTTCACGGTTGCATTCAGAAAATGTTTTATACCTATTTATGTCTGATACACTACATTACGTATACTTAAATACTAACTGTTGAATTGGTCTTTTTAATGTGCGTATTGTCATAAATAGTGTCAATCATATGTTTTTATTGTAAGTCTCTGTTTGTAGCGTTAACTTGTTGGTGTTCATCAATAGCCGTTTTAGATTTAGCATAATTTTTCAGATACTGCTTGACTCTAAGGCAACAACGTAATTTGTGATTTACCTACCCATAACTCATTTGGTTGTACAGATTTGTTCTATCTCGCCCACTAAATATAATTCATCTAAAATTTTTGGCTATACAAGCAAGATTCTTTCAAACCAACTAACCTGTTGAATAAAACTGTTCCCTTTTGTTCAGAATATTTTTATATGGAGTGCGAAATCTACATATCATTGCCATTGTTGTCCAGCGGCCAGTTGTGTCACTCAGCAGTATAATGCTTCGCTACGATTGCTATCTACCGCTCTTATAATAGATGAATGTTGAGTGAATCGCGCTCTCACTTTCCAGTGTGAATAAGTTCCATTGTTCATAATGCTATTCTTAAACGTTATTTAGTCTATTCAGCATCATTCTAATTACCCACGTGCAATTTTGTTGTTGTACATGGATCATTTATTTCATGATATTTTTCAGCGGGTTCATAAAACAGATTGAGTTTTGTTGGTTATTTTCAAATCTATTTTTCTAAATAGAATGTCGGATGATATATGGGAAGAGAGTTCAGTCAAAGGATTTCAATTTGATTTAGAGGAAGATAATACTTCAAGTAGTCTTACCTAATTTTATCATCATATTTCTTCCAGCATACTGTCAGAGTCTTGGTGATAGCCTTGGTGAAACATTTTGTGATGATTCAATAACAATAGGTATGAATCTCAATCGATATCATTGTGATAATCTAAATTTCATCTAACAGACTTTAATAACCAGTTTTGTACAATATGCCATAGCTTGATCGGTAATGAGGTTCACTATGAAAAAGATGCTACGTTCTGTTCTGAGGTTCAAATATAATACAATGTTTTTGATTTTTATCATAACAGTCATGTTGGTTGAAAGCAATTACAATAGCTCTTGATGATTTTGTCGTTGGAGGAATGAGTAATTGGCCGTTGAGTACTTTTGTTTCGCAAGCTTCTAAATCAGTTATTTTAAATCTGACTACAAGCACTTGTGACGGCAATTTAATTACAAAAGTTAACATCCATTTTCGAAATCTCTATTTTAAACTATCATTCTTTACAGGTTGTTAATAAATTTAGGAATACATTATCAGAAAGCGCTTTTGAAAAACTTTTGTTGAAAAATTCAGTGGCTGCGTTTCACTTCCTTAATTTTCTTAGAAAAACTGGGCAATTAGTAGATTTAAAGAAATATATGAAGTAAGTTGATCTGCGTAAACATAACTTCATTTGGTCAGATTACTCGGTTTCATCAGGGAGAGTGAAGTAAGATATTTGGTATCTCAACTTATATACAAAATACTTGCACAGGTTTCTAACTATAATCAATTGATGCAAAAGTTGATGAATTTGTCCTCGGGTCATGTAGATGAAGTCAATAAATATTTGATGCAGATTGCAGAGTATTGTAGAATACAGTTTTTCGTTACGAACTTCATTTAGATCTGAAGTAGCTTCAAATCTTTCTGTCAAAAATATTTTTGAAATTTCTTCAGAATTGGCTGTTATCTTGGATTATCAAAATAGCTATGTATTTCTTTCTGTTCAAACGATAATTAATGTTATATGTTCATATTAGGAACGAGAGTGGAGTTCATACTACAGTGAGCTTCTCAAACATACAAACGCTCAAAAAATAGCTACTGCACTTCCTGAGAGTTTACTGATGCAGCCATTATGCGAAACTCTTAGTGCGCTGGTGAGGTTGGATCAAGGAGTCAAAACTAATAGTCGAGCTGAAACTCTTGGGAAAAAGTTCAAAGTACGTAGTCTCTAAAATTTGATTTGAAGTAGTTACTGTTTGCTTTTAATAAAATTACGTTACTTTGTATGTATGTGTGAGTAAATATGGGAATTTGTTTTCGCAATTTTTGTATGGAATGTATTTCCTAGTCAGTATGTTCGATCTGCCTCTCTTGGTTTGAAAAAGTGTATGGGTGGATGTTAGTTGGATGATGTAAACGGGCGGAAATATATGCTTAAATTTCTTACAAGCACTTGTCCAAATACCACACAATCTAACCATAATTGTTATCTTAATGTGACAGTAAACTTTGCTAACCGGTCTGGCCATATTTATTACGATGTTTTCTTCTTACTCCTTAGTTAAGATTATTTAGATGGAGACACGAAGTTTCTCAAAATCAAAAATGAATAGTATTGGCAAAGGTCATTCCTATGAATAAATGAAACCCTGCCCTACGAAGTCTAATTTTTTAATGGTAGCGCATAATTGTATGATATCATTAATACAAGTCAAAAATTCTAAAAAATGGCCTGTGACTACTTTTCAACCTCTAGTCCTACCCTAACGTAGTAAGATCACTAACAAGTCTGTGTTTTAGAGTTCACTATAATGTGTTAAACCACGAAATATCAATCACAGACAAGGTATTATTATTTCGCTAATATGTATTCAGAATTCTCCTTATTTTGTCTTATTCTTATTATCAATCAATCCTCCTGACCAGTAAAGAAAGGAAGAATATCTTAACGCATCAACCCCGTGTATAACAACAGCATTATTAGCTGGACTAGGTTATGAGTGTTTAGAAACCAAACAACGGTTTCAACGATCTACCCGTTAATTTAATTCCTAAATAACCACTTAATAATTAAATTAACGGATAACTGGTTGATAGGGAGTGAAGTAGTTGAGCTTAGTGACCACTTCACTTATCTTGCGAGTCTCATCAGTGCTAATGGCCTGATGACTGACGAAATCTCAGCACGGATACGTAAAACTCGATTGGCTTTCGCCAACCTGTGTCACTTATGGCATAGGCGAAATATCTGTTTGCTGACTAAAGGACAAGTGTACTGTGCAGTAGTTCGCGCCGTCCTAATATATGGATGCGAAACATGACAGATAAGAGTTGAGGATATTCGTAGGTTATTAGTAGTGTATTATAGATGTCTCCGAAACGTTGCTCGCGTATCCTGGGACTAATGCGGTATGGCAACCTGAACGTATGTACGTACGTACGAAGTTCTACGTCGTTACCGACTGGCTAAATAACTTCTGGGGGAGGGTCATCCAACCGACATTGTTACTAAGATTCCGGCTGCTATGTTTATCCTTCCTTTCACTGAAACTAAAGGCCAAAAAACTGTCAAAACCAGGTGGATTTTGGATCTGACCTTACATAGATTGTGAAACCTAAAACTTCTTTCAGAATTCAAGAAAATGGGCATACCTACCTCATTTCAACCAAGTTCCATGAACTGGATTTAATTCTGCTCCAATTATGCCATTCAGTGTCCATTCGATTTTGTCATATCCTAATCATTGAATGGCATGTACAACAATGCATCAACTTATTGAAATTTTCGAACTCAAACATACGACCAGCTCGGTGACAGTTGTTGATTATATTAAATATTTATTTTGAGTGATCTTCGGAGTTATCTATTCTCTGGATTTCTATTCAACTGAAAATCACTTGGCAGCAAATGACGACCAACGTTCCTCAGTTGGAATATTCAACAGAACAACTACGTAGTTCAGTAGGTAGGTATAGCCCAAAATCAGTCAGTGCTTAGGTATGCTCCTTATCTTCCTCTGGATCTCAGACACTAACATGTTGTGACTTCAGTTAATTTTTTTAATTTCTTTTGATTTTCCTCTATTGTTACTCTGAATATCTTATTCTTATTGAATCCCTTTTTCTATTCTAATTTAAATTATATGTAACTAAACTGGTACCTTCTTTTCTAGTTATTTTCTCTCACACATAAGAAGCTAAATGTTACATAGCGTTCCTCCTTTGGATGCTGTGTGGCAGAGATAGTGATAAGTTGCCCAGTTAGTTTGTCCAGTGTTTAGTGCCTATTATTAAGTCATACGTCTCATGTTGAGAGTGTTATGTTTTGAGATGACTACTAGTTCTTAAGTGCCTTAACTAGGCCCTCATATCAGTTCTTACGGAGCCCAAGAAGCTTAGATGTGTATGGATTGTTTATTTCGTCTAGTATAGTTGTTATCTGATCCATCCACTAATTTTTCATACATTCATGTTGTCTTTGTCTTGCTTCATGAGCTTTATGTTTTATCTCATTGTATGAGAATATTCATTGCAAAATACTCTCAACAAATCACGTCCTTGCATTTTTTTTTCCAGATAGCCGACGAACAGTTTAAGTGGCTGGTAATAGAGCCACTTGTTCAGTCGCAAAACTGGGAAGATTTGGAATTTATCGTGTTAAGAAAGGTAAATTGGCTGACAACATAAATTGACTAAACATTCTTGAAGAAGTCATTATTGCGTCGCATGGAGGTTGTCATCCCAACAGATCGTCTGATTCTTCATCTCAGTTCATTAAGTGTCCCAAAAAACGTAAGTTTTCATGTAGTCATTATCTTATGATATTTACTGTTTAGTAGATTTATTCAGCCCGATTTAGAGTATGAAAATATAGTGTTTCCTCCCTCACACCAAAACAAAACGAATACACTCGAACGTATCCACGAAATCAGTTCGAGGGCTCAAGATCGAACCTTATGAAGAGCGTTTCAAGTTCATGTCGTTATTTTATAACATTTACAAGTTCTATAACACAACTCAGCAGAGAAAATAGCATTTGAAGTGTGACATTTTTATAATCGATCTTTCCTAACCCCTTATTTCCGTCTTGAGATGGCAGCATCGCTGCAGTTGCTGACTGTCTGAGAGAGAAACACCTTGCTGTTGTCACACTCCGCTACAGCCAGCAGTCTAACTTCTCCCTCAGGCCTTGAGTTGCTGCTTTAATCTCATCATTCTTCAGTCGACCTACCTGGCATGGTAGAACCTACAGGAACATATGTTCGGTTGGGTCATCCCGATAGACAAGTCCGACCACCCGTCAAGGTAGCAGCAACGGTCGGGTCCAACAGTATAATGGGGATGCAGAGTATCACATGACAATATCAGAGTCTGGCACTGTCCATATCTTGCTTGTATCCACCATATATTTATGTAAAATCAGTTGTGTTTAGTACCGTAGATGAATCTCTCCTCTATAACTCATTTCGAGGAAGTTTTCACTTATAGTCTATACGACGATCATCTATGACGTTGGCAAAATTAACTTAATGATACAGTGAAAACAAATGTAGATTTATTTAGTCACTGGGTTGAAGGTTAAGCTCTCTAAACATTATTTCAGCGTATAAATTTTAATTTGATGTCTCTTTTTAGATTATTGAAAGTTACTTGAAACATATAAGTGACGAAGAAGAGTTTATACAGATTGTTGTCCGGTTAAATATGATTGATGAAGCTATTAAAGTAAGTTAAACTGTTTGTAATATGTGTATTGAATAGCCTTTATAGCTATTTATTTCTCAACTATATTCAATACATAAAGTTCTGTAAGTTTTATCACAGCTACTAGCATTTCAAAAAATAGAGGCTTAGTTTCCGTTAGCAAAACTGTAACTTGATGGATAATGTAGAAAGGTCTCCAGTATGATCGACTTTCCGTATTTCAAAATACTGAGTAAAGCCATAATTGTAACCTACATTGACGAATTACAATACGCAAAATATGTTGGAATGGACACGTATCAAGAACCGTGGCAATCTTCTATCGTCAACGGATGTAGTAACACTCTGAACATAAGTCACCTTCAAAAAAGTGGTAAATTATGCTTATCTGGAGGATTAACTAATCAGTTGCTGGTATAGTTATCCACACTACTCAAAACCTACTTATACTTATCATTGCCTGTTTCACCAATCAAAAATGCTGTCATTATTCCCATTTTTTGGCTGTCAAGTATACGTATTCAAAATAAAACCTGACCAAGTTGAAGAATGCAACGAAGAGCTACACCGTTATTTTTAGTCTAGCAAATTACTGCATGATTATGATAAAGTACTGTACGCATATATCTAAATACAGTTAATAAACCCTACACTTGTTTCGCCTCAAAATTCAGCTTAAGGAATTTCAATAATATACCAGTACATATTTTTTCTTTCAGCTCTGCTTGGAAAAGCGAAATATCAATGCTTTGAAGGAATTAATGTCTCAAATACCTGGCAATCATCCTAAAAAGAATGAAATATCTCACTATCTGTCGGTTCCTGTAAGACATTTCCATTATTCTTATATATAATGTCGTCGACTAGATGACAGTAGGCACTGTCGGTTACTATGTTATGAATTATATTACAAGAAAAACATACCATCCAAATAGAGATAAACCCAAGTGTAAATCGGGACGAGCAACTGATTAACAGTTCAACAGTAGTTGGTGCTTAAGGGATTCTGAAAGCATTTGGTCGATGGGAAACGTTGTTATACAGATAGTCATGAACTTCATCTTCGACCCAGGATATTACCCATGCAACGATAAAACTAACCATTATATCCTGATCATTTTGTTTATCCGGCCTGCAATTGTTTGGTGTTAGTCAAGGATAGTTAGTTAAGGATAAAATCATCCAAATGAAGCTAGGATTTTTGAATCCGATCATCGAATATATTAGTAAATCTGCCGACTACATTCTTAGTTCCCAGTTTCTACATCCACTGTTCAATGCGAATGGATACATACCAAAAACTAATATCTTCGGAATTAATGAGCCATATTAGGATATTAAGAATTCATGAAAGCTATTATAATCGGTAATTAATATAAATCGTTCAATCTGCTATAAATTTTAATGCACGGTGTAATTTGGAGAACTTTTGACTAGCTTTCCTATTGCATGAGGACAGATTTCATAAGAAACATCTAGATTTTGTATAATGTTTCCGGGTTTTTCTTTAAAATCATTCACCTATTTCCCATCTGCTTTGCGACGATGTCCAACTGAAATTTGAATAAACCAACTAATTGATGCAACAGCTTAAAAAAACTGCTATGACGGGTGAAAAACATCTAGGTATTTAACCTAACGGCAGATGGTCAGGCTCCTGGATTACAACGCATGCATTTTATCAAAGGAAGAAGTATTTAGAACACATTTGCTTCTTTAAGAATATGTATAAATAACGCTAAAATAATCAATTTTTTATTTTAGGTTGCACAGTGGAAAGACTTCGCCTGTAAACAAACGCTTTGAAATAAGCTATTTTCATTTTACATTTTTGAGAAACACTGATGAGTTTGATTTTGAGTCCCGACTTTTGTATGCACATGTGTATCGTCCTGTTGTTAACTGATATAAAAAACGAATAATAGTGGATAATCCTTGTGATTCCCGCGCTTCTGTCCGATCACTATGTCTTTGTGATCGTATTACCATAGTTACAATTCCAAAAAGAATAGAGATGATTGTTTTTATCACGAGAATTATGAAGATGCTCTCAATTTTATGAGACACTAATCTAGAAAGCGAGAAAATTGTACAATATTACAACACGTTTAAAAAAAAGTACAAGAAGTGAACTTTTGACTTGCAATCTTTCTCAAATAATAACAGTTTTTTAGCATATCTTATGTACAATAAAGAACCTGCGGACTCGTTTACAGAACAGATCTACTTTGAGAAATATTCTTAAAAAATTAAACCTAGGAGAAACATTGGAGACCAGCGAAATTATTTAAGTCAGACAGACAGACAGATACAACGCAGAACTTCGTACATAAGTACATCAGTTCAGGTTACCATACCACGTCAGCACAGAGAAGTAACTGTCAGTTCAAATCCAAGAGTGATAACGATAATAGAAGTATTAGCAGTAATGGAGAAGATTAGGGAGCGAAGATATGATTCGAAAAGTATAATTCAGTGAGATAAATTTAGAAGGAGAAAGATAGAGATTATGAGGAATTCAGAAGGTCAGAATTAGAGAGAACACAAAGAGTGGATGCACCGGCGCTATTGCAAACGATCCCGAGCCATGTCGTTTAAGGTCTCTAACCATCGGTGACTTTCGTCTCGCGGACCCCAACCATGTAGCCTACATCTACTAACACGACTCAGTGACTTCATGGATTTCTGCCATGTTTTGGTTTGGCCGTTCCTTGCTTCCTTCCAACCTACTCCTACACCACAAAACAGCTCGTCGAGGCAGTCGGTGGTTAGCCATACGTAACACATGTCCCAACCATCTCAACTGATGAAGTTTCACCACTTCATGATCTGCCATCCTTACCTAGTGCTCGATTCCTAACGACAGCATTGCTTACTCGGTTATCCCAGGATATACGAGCAATGCCTCGAGGACATCTATAATACACTACTAATAACCTACGAATATCCTCTACTCTCGCAGGCCGTGTTTCGCTTCCGTATAGTAGGATAGAGCGAACTGCTGCGCAGTTCACTTGTCCTTTGGTTAAAAAGCGGATATCTCGCCTATGCCATAAGTGACGCAGGTTGGCAAGAGCCAATCGAGCCTTCTGTATCCGAGCTGAGATTTCGTCAGTCACCAGGCCATTAGCACTGATGAGACTCCCCAGATAAGGGAAGCGGTCTACACGCTCGATTACTTCACTCCCTTTCACTATTTCAGGTGCCGATGCAACCCAATCTTGATGCAACATTTTGCATTTCGTGGGTGAGAACCGCATCCCTCATACCCGTAACAGCACGAGAGACCAAATTGGTCAAAATCAAATGATTTAATTGGACGTTACTGAAATACTACAACCATCAATACTCTATAATTGTTGTTAAAAACGTCATCATTGTTTATACAACTGATTGGAGATTATGCCAGGCTACGTCAAACTCAAAATCCTTTTTATAATTAAATCCTTAGGTAGTGATGCTTAAAATATATTTTGAGATAGAAAAATGTTAAGAAGGACCCAGATTTGGCAACTGACAAGATAAAATCGAGTGCTGCTGGTGCGAAAGACTGACACTTGCTGGTTGCTCACAATGGAATAAAATCTCTCAAAAACGAGGAAGATCTAGGTTTATACTGATAGTCTTGTTGACCCAGAAATGCAACACTAAAGAACAAGTGAATGTATCCAATCACATACTACTTTTGTGTGTCGTTCAGCACTTTCGAAGTTTTACCATCAGTACCAAAAATCTGAATTTAGGTAAGGTATCTCAACAGTTTATTTTCCTTTACTCGCGTTCTATACAGTTGAGCATAGATGGAAGTGACGGTAATTCGTCGGGATAGTCTTCATTCCAATGAATTTCAGCATGTTCAGGTGTACGAATTTGCACTCGGACATTAATTTGATTTGTGTTTTACAGCTTTTCAACTGATTTGCCTTGGACGGTGGGGTCTTTAGAAAGCAGCACTTTAGATTATGGTGGCTTGACCAGGTGGTTACGGTATGTGAAACAGAATACCATAGAAGCTTGTAATTGGGGTTACTATGCATGCTTCTTTAGAAACGAAAGACCTCAGTTTACGAATACAACTTCAAATTGTACCCAAATAATTAGACCAGTGATAAAGGGCATAAAAAGTCTACTTTAATGCATATTGAATGTTTGCGAAACCATATTAGCCTTTAGAAGTGTAAACACTAAGTTCCCATGTTGGATTGAGAAACTTGATGAATAGAATCTTAGCACCATTGAAGCAACGTTTTAGAGTTACGCTCAAACTACTGATGACTGTTGAAGTAATTTGTGCATATGGCAGTAGTAAATTATCTTACTAGTCTATACAAAACATACGTGAAAGCTAGAAAATTACTTTACGAATTATGATTAGGATTATCAATACTAATTATGAATAATTTCCTAAGATCAACTGAATCTCCTGTTCAGTTACGAACAATTTCCCTGTCAGTATTAACGTGGAACTTGGCACGTACGTGCACCAGTTCAAATCCCAAAATAGTAGAGACTGTAGCAGTGTTAGCGGTAATAGAGAAGATTAAGAATCGAAGATATGATTCGAGAAGTACATCCTAGTGAATAAATTTAACAAATTAGAATTTGACAGAAGTCAAAGAGTGAATGCGTCTGTGCTATTGCAAACGGTTTTCAGCCGTGACATTCAACGTCTCACACCATCAATTACTGTCACCTTGCGGACCCCAACCAGGTAGTCTACACTTAGCAACATGACGCAATCAAGTTGTGCATGGACTTCTCCTATGTTTTAATTTCGATACTAGTAACCTACGAATATCCTCTATTCGTAGTGACCATGTTTCGCACCCGTAAAGCATAACGGAGCGATCTGCTGCGCAGTAAACTCGTCCTTCAAACGGCAGAGGCGTATCTCGCCTACACCAAAAGTGACGCAACTTTTCGAAAGCTAGTCGAGCTTTCTGTATCAGTGCCGAGATTTCGTCACACACCAGGTTATCAAGACCGATGAGACTACTGAGGTAATTGAAGTGGTCAACACGCTCAACTTCCTCACTCCCTATCACTAGCTCAGGAACATTCTAAGTCAACGAGCGAATTTCCTAGTAAAAGTTTAACTACTGGAAATCAGATGTTGCAATTATCGTATCTAAAAGCACGTCAATGATAAAGTTGAATAAGAATGGAGAAAGTGGACAACCCTGACGAACACCATTTGATGACAGTTGGCCATAATCTCTGACTCAACCAGTAATGTCCGAGTAGGGCCTGTACAAGGTGAGTGTACTTGTTTGGTACATTTTTCAATGACAGATGCAGAGCCTAACTGTCGACTGAGTAACAAACTGCCTTCAAGTCGAGGAATACAACTAATGTTTGACGTAGGAAAGTGTGTCTGTGTTCTAAAAACTCAGGGATCAATTCATCAGGGCCCGCTGCTCTACATCACCTTAGATTACTAGTAGCCTTAACAACCTCATTAAGATCCGGAAGACTGGTATTAACTCTCCATGCAGGTTGACAGGAAATTGTGGGTTACTGAAGGCCGGTCGAATCATTTTCTAGTGTTCTGCCGATCTCCTAGGTTGAGAGTGAATAATCATGTCTTTTTCCGAGTCTTGCTAACAGTTAGATTCCCAATACCGGTTTCCTTGATAAGCCTGGACGATTGTTTACTGTTACCTATCGCCGGCACCTTTTCCATCTTGTTCGCTTTTTCTATCCACTATTCATGATTATTACTTGGGCTTCTTATCAACCTGTGTTTAAGCTGTCTACGAACCTCATCCTGTTCAGAGCTACACACAACGTTTTTCCAAGCATGTATCAGTTCAATATGTCATTGAAATCTACTTATTTTTCTTTAACCTTTCGTGTTAACTTACTGGCAGATATGACTGCTGCTTCTATAACTTTCTGGATATCACTCAAGCTGCCTCGGGATGGCAATCACTTATGTTTGTGTAACTGCTTTTCTGGTTGCTCCTAAAATATTCTCTTGGCTTTCTTACCATTAAATAGAACTCTAAAGGGTTTCCTTGATGTGTCTTACATCCAGTAAGCCTAAGACAAATACGTGCTCGTAACAGAGCATGATCTGAACCTAAACATGTGCTCCAGAACGAATGAAAGTCATCTGTCGAACCTTGCCATCAGTGGCTGATAGGGATGTGGTCTAGTTGTGTCTATTTTGGGGGGTCCCCATGTCAAAAAATGTTTTTGCTTATGCTCAAAGTTAGTACATGCCATTAATAGGCGGATCTGAACACATCTGCAGCAGACAGTCGCCGTTATATCTTTTATAAGCTGCAACATTATAAGATCCACCCAGATGTCTTTATGTTTCGCTTAGTCTACCTACTTGAGCATTTAAGTCACCAATCACTACCACTACACCAGAGTGATTACCATTTTGAAGGAGGTTGGGAAGCTTTTCGTTAAATTCATCTTTTACTTCATCTGACGTGCGATCAGTCGGAGCGCAGGCAGAGGCAACGGCGAGTGCCCTTACTGCTCCGTTACGGTCGGGTGATTTTCGATGATCTTTGGATTATTCACACCTCAAGATTGTAGGTAGCTGATTAACTTCATAGCTATACTTCCCTAACCATATATTCCTTTTCACATTTGGCAGATCATAAACATTTTCTTTCGAATGACAGATCGATCCAAAGATTTAAGTTTTTGCACATATGCGAATTTATTTACTGAACAAAGCTCAGCGTACTTTGAAGTCTCGATAACTGTTTAGGTATATCACTACTGCGAGCGATATATGTTTTTTGTACGCAGCTACAAGTTGATATCAGTATCTCGTTCAAATCTGTTATGTCACTCATAATGATATCATACGAAACAACTCTACTTTTCTAATTCATATAACAAACTTTTAGAGGGGGAATACTGTTTACCTATTTGAGAAATCACACTGGAATCACATAACTTGTAATTGTAGTTGAATTTTAGTCTCTCACACGTTGTAATGTCTAGTTAGTCTGATGGTTCCTCTACTTAATAGTTATTTATTTTAGGCGTTATTGCGAACCGTACTAGATCGATCTAACTCATTATACGAGTGCATACTTATGAACAGAACTTGTTAATTAGCTATCCCATTAAAGTACGACTATGTAGCTTTTAGAAGTTTCGAAAAGAAAATACTGATTGGACGTAATGCTTCAAGGATTTTTTGGTGTAATCTGTGATTAACGGGACGCATCATCAAGGAAATATTACTTGATTTTGAGTCTGGAGACGATCAGCAAAAAGGCTATGAACATGGTCTTACTGTCGGTTGACACTCACGTGTAAGCTTTACTTAGCTGACAGTTACACCCTACTCATTGCTGCAGTCAAAGTCCTTATCAATAAGCCAATTATCAGATAGCTTGTTTTTTTAGTACCAAGTCCCAGCTATCAGTGTGTTGTTAGAAAATAATTCAGTGTCTTGTCCTTAGAAACGATCGAGTTGTAGAAAGGGATTTAGTGGAGAAATAATTTGGCGGAAGTTTCGTTCTCGAAACTGAAAAGTTCTGAAATGCACAATGACGTTCTGCATTATATTTGCAGGTTAAGGCGTATAGGTTAGACGCGTCAAAATAAGGTGAACTGGTACAGTGTAAATACATGGTTGGGGCATTTCTCTGTATATAAAACGGCTTCAGTGAAGCCGATGAAGACAAGATCACTTTGCAGATCGCCCTTAGTAGTAGCATCTTTGGATTGCTGAACTGTGGGAGACACATTTTATTTTCTGACCGCAAAAAATATTTCGACAGGAAGTTACAGTCCAGTCACTATCGCTCAATTTTCATCACGATAGACTAGCCCGACCACCACACCTAGGCAGTAGCTACAGTCGGGACTACCTTGCTGAATTACATAGCTCAGGCTAGAGGTCCATCACGTTTAAGTTGTTGACCTGCTGGTTTGAAAAATCAGCTTTAAAGACTCTGTAAAAGCCGCATCCAACGGTATAATGACAGTAAATCAGTGTTTAAGTCAGTAAACTAAGGTACATGGGAATATCGACGTACTTCATCTCAGCTGAATGCTATCTGCAATATGATAGTTAAAAAGACTCAACTAAGTCACAGTAACTAAGGAGAATCTGAGCCTACGGTAAGATAACAAAAGGTATTTCGGTTAAGGTATCTTTTAGAAACCATATACTGTCTTCAAATCGTAGACAGTAAATATGAGTAAATTTTATTCATCACCAACATTGGTGGTTTCTAATATAGGCAGCTTACAGCAGTCTGTTACTACCATACCTTTCGAAGCTTGTTTCTGAATTTATAAAACTAAGTATATTAGCTTATTAGTGCCTTAATGGCATGGAGATTTACTACGAATCTTTTTGGAAGAGGAATATGTTCAGTGAATTTGCAAAGCCGAATGAACTGTCTCAACATTAAGTTTCGATGTGAATAAAGTTGGAGTTATTTATTATCACTATTTAGGCACATAATTATTGGTACAAAAATAAACTTAAATATTTGTGTGGACTGTGACACTGAGTACCCAAACTGAAACGGGTGGTTTCCTTAGGGAACCATTCCCTGAGCCATTGGCCAAGACGTCTAATCCGCAAGGCAGTGGAACAACGTCTAGAAATACAGTCCTATGGTATCCGGTGACCAACAAAAGACTGGTTCCCTTTGATAAATTTGAACAGAGAAATAAGAAGACATATTTTGTGAGATAGTACCATTTCGTGCTTTCTCGTCAGTCACATACAAGCAACATGTTATTTGTGTAAATACAGTTTTGAAGATAAGGTGTTCAAAAACAACTGTATGTTGACCTTTTTTACCAAGGTTGTAGTGAGTGAATGTCATGCTAAATAAGAAATTTTGACCTTATCTTCAAAACTGTATTTACACAACTAACATGTTGGTTGTATGTGACTGACGAGAAAGCACGAAATGGTACTATCTCACAAAATATGTCTTCTTATTTCTCTGTTCAGACCAACAAAAGGTTTGTTCGCCATTTGTTCCGCAAGGATTCTGTCGCTCATGTGCACTAGTGATCTGAAATGAAGAGTTTTCAACTCCTCCAGGTGGATTCTTTGTACCGAACCACCCGATTTGAGAGCCAGGTATTTACTTTTCATTCCCTTAACTTTGCAAGCAATACTCCCGCTGAGAGAAGGCTGTAATTACACATGTGTGGGCATGATGAGGGGATGAGCGAACTCTCCCCACTCTCGAAAGAACCTGGGCATTTGAAGTAACATAGCTCCTGAGAAATATACTAACTTGAGATATTTCGTACCAACCTCCTATCATGAAATACGAAAGTATCACGTGCCTAGTTTGTAGCGAAGAACTGTTCAACCAGGGATTGGAACAGTCGGACGTGAAACGATGTGAGTCACTCTGGTCTTTGTGATATAAATGTTGCCTTCAAGAGCACAAACAAATTAAACACATATTGTTACACCTGATACACAACAATCCAATCTGATACACATGAGATACTGGCTTTTTGTACAACAAGCAATCCTACACATACAGCGCTACGCAAAGTTGTGATTTTCATTTGACGGGCTTTCGACTATATCATCGCGGCTGAAGATACCTGACTGTTTGGAAAGAGAATAAATTGACGTACCAATAATAAGCAGAGAGCCAGAGTAATAGGACAAAGGATGGACCAACTATTAAGACTCGTAACCAGTATGCAACATTTTGAGTGATTCAGGTCAAAACACCAACACACGTACGCTAGGTACAAATGTTAACTTACGCGTAAAATATATCTTTAATTGGCTCCATAGTAATGATAAGGAGACCCAATGATGTGCTCCAGACGGGGCCTGAGCGACGTGACAGTAACCAAATAGAATAAAACATTACAAATGTATCAATCTAAGAAAAATGAACGAGGATATATTCAATCTTACTAGGTCCAAGTTTGCTTCATAACTCAAACACAAATACTTCCAGTCAAATTCTAGTCCACGTGTACCTACCCAAATTGGAACATATCTAGGGACATTTAGTCAGTCGGAAAAACTCACCTCGTGGCTATTAGTGATGCGAGTGACCAGCCTACACTCGACGCTACTACATTGAATTCACTTCTACAAAGCGGCCCGCGTACGATTAAACTAATAACCACTATTTCCAGTAATATCCCAAAAACATTCTGAAATGATTAGTAGAACAAATACATGCATACAAATGTCATAGAATCGCCTTTAGATAAATAGTTTTGAGGAGCTAAAGTAACCAGGAAAAATTTCAGCATCTGTGTAAGCGCGTAAAAGCATGCAATTTTGAGACAAGGCCAGAACGCATCATTTTCACGTCTAAAAAATTTCAGTGAATAGGACCTAACTTACATTCCAGAAGACTTGTACACCAGCAAATGAGGACCGGTCGCCAAAGCTAGACAGTTTGCTAAGTGAAATAGACCCATTTTTCACGCTGTCATGTTTAAATAGCATATGTTTCTTACCTTTATATAGTTCACTTTAGCAAATGGTGAAAATCGAACAGCAGATAAATTGGCAGTGAGAAATCGGTCAGGGTGAAGTTATAAGACAGTGGATTTGAATCGGAGCTGCTATTAACAAGATCCTTTATACTAGAAATAACTGGAGACACGGAAGTTCAGAAAAAGTAGGGGTCAGCAACCGGGAAAAAAAAAGAATCCAAACTATGTAGTGTCTTAAGTACGATATAACGTTTCGTTTTGTTACAGCCTCGTCTAAATATTACATGTATATATTGTACATGTAACGCATCCAGCTTCAACACTGCTCAGAATGGTTAAAGAATTATTTGTTCCCAGGACTGTGCATCTGATTGAAATAAAAGCCTTCTTGACGATGGGAAGATATATCTATTGCTATATTAATTCTGAAAACAGTGAAATGAATCAATCTAAAAGAGCACTCGAGTAACTCTTTAAATAGACCTCTTTAGTACCTACACTACTAAAGTAGATATTGGGTACTTTTTTAAAAGACTCTTCAACGTTTTTTGTTACTGCTGCCTCCGAAAAGGAGTTCATCAGCTTACTGACTCTAATAACAGGGAAGATCACCACAGGGAGTATCACCAGTGCCTCTAGTCAGAAACCCAGTTATACTTGACTAACAGACGAGTACTGCTGAGTTCCAGAGTATTCTTATTCTTTAGGAGTACAGGAGGCGACATACTGCTAAAATGGTCGTAAAACTCCTCTCGAAACCGTGTTGGCATTACAGCCGATCCCAAGCCCCGATAGAGTGGGAGGGTCGGGCATATGCTTAGCAACTCCATGCCGAAGAATGGTAATTCGCTAAAAAAATTCTAACTCGAAGAAAGAACTCAGAATGTTTGAACTCTGACCAGGCAGTTTAAAGTTCTTCGTCTAGATTTATGACGTCCCATGATGACAGCGGTGTTTCTGCGGAATCCACAACAAGAAAAACTATTCTTTTAGGTTCATTGAATGTGGTGGTGTTTGGTTGTCTGAGCTGGATGTTTTGATTCTGGAGCTTTGTATCTTCTCCTGAGCAACATCATCAGAACGAACTTCAGATAGATGTGAAGTATTCGAATTTCTCCACGTTTGACCCGTACCTTGATTGGTTGCTTTTGACCTTAAGACTGTCGTTGTTTGCACCTTTGTTTTGATTGTATCCCCATTATAATCTGTTTCTTGATCCTATGTCGTCTATGATTTTCCTGATTGGTTGATAAATTGGGTCAATGTCGATGTGTTTGTTGATTGCTGATTGACCTGAGTGCCAAGCTTCTAAAAATTCGCTAGTGTTCTTTGTCCTCCCCTATCCAGTATTTCCACATTGTTCCAATCGAATGTGTGTCCATAATTGTCGGTGTGTATTGATATACGAGAAGCGTTGTCGTGATGTATGACTGATAATTGGTTTTCACGTAAACGAAGCTGAAGAGTCCGTCCACTTTGTCTTATATAGTGTTTGTCACAGTCTGAGCAATTTATTTTGTAGATGATATTTAGTTTTTCTTCATTTTTCATTTTGTCCTTTGGTCTACATAGGATTGATTTAAGTGACTCCGTTGGTTTGTGTGCTAAACCTAGTCCAAATGGTTTCCGTAGTCGTACTGTATGCTCTGATATGCCTTTGATGTATGGTAGGATGATCCGTTTGTTGGTTTCTGTACTTGATTTCGCTTGTGTTGACGATTTCGGTTGATATTTTTTGATTAAGTTGTGTGAATAGCTGTTCTTTTGGAAGATAGTCAGAAGGCGTTTTTCCTCGTTTTTTAGTGCTTCGTATATGCTGCAGTGTGTCTTCGCCCTCTTACACAAAGTTTGTATGCAGTTCTTTTTGTGAGTTCTTCGGCTGTTGCTATCGTACTTCAGAATTACGTCTGTGTGGGTTGGCTTCCGAAATAGTTGAGTTTCCAGTTTTCCTGCTTTATTTCTGGTGATTAGTACATCCAGGAATGATGGACTGTTTTTTCATTCCTTTTCTACCTTGAATTTGATGTCATCAAAGGCGTTGTTGATCTGATTGCAGATGTTCTCCAGCTCGTTCCTTTTGATAATGACGAATGTGTCATCTACATAGCGAACCCACATTTTTGGCTTGATCACTGGCAGAATCGACGCTTCTAGTCTCTACATTACAGCTTACGTGATGAGTCCTGATATTGGTGATCCCATTGGTGTTCCTTGTGTTTGTTCGTAGACTCTGTTGTTGATTTTAGAATACCTTTTTAAACATAGATCGACGAGTTCAAAAATACTTTGGCTCTGAAGCTTTGTATATTTGTGCAGATTTGTGTCGTTGATGAGGTGCAGGGAAAGAGTTGCTTCAGCTAAGCTGGGCTCTAGTGAGGTGAATAAGGCTGTTACGTCGAAGGATATCATCGTTTCTTCGTTGTCGATTTGAATCCCCTTGAGTTTATCCAAGAATTGTGCGGCAGACTTAATGGAGTAGTTGGATCCATCCACCAGGTGTTTTAATATCCTTGAAATTTCTCTTGATAAGTTGTAGGTCGAGGTTCCGGAGAGGGATACAATAGGTCGTAGTGGAATGTTGGGTTTGTGGGGTTTCGGCCTGCCGTAGAATCGTGGAATTACTGGTCCACTGGATTTCACTCTCTATTGATCTTGCTTTGATATTTTTCCTGCTTTGACAAGCCTGTTTGGAATCCTTGAGATTAGGTTATGCAATGTTTTTATTGGGTTTGTGTCAATCGGTTTATGTACGCTTTTCCCCTCAAGTAGTTCCTCGGCTTTCTTGATATATTCTTCCTTGTCCATAATTACTGTGGTGCGTCTTTTGTCCGCTGGAACTATGACTATATCTACCCTAGTTATGAGTTTCTTTAGAGCTTTTCGTTGTTGTGCTGTTAGTTAGTTGTTGCCTATCCTCCGTCGAGATAGTGGTACAATGGTTTGCCTTATTTATTGTTGAGTATCTCCATTTATTGCTGCCGTTTTGAGTGATGACTCTTGTGCAGTGAACAATTCGAGTTTTGAATTTGAAAAGTTGTTCTTCTGTTGTTGTTAGGTTTTGTTTCGAACACACAACTGGTTACGTTTTCTTCTGTGGGTGGCTTTGAAATCTTGATTAGTTTATCTTTGAGGATGCTTCTTCTTTGTTCTCTATGTCGTCTGCTTGACATTTCGATCACCGTTCTCAATGTTGTGAAATGTTCTGATGAGAGTATTGTATCTAGTTCTTTGTTAATCCATGTTGTGCTGGTATTTGTGGATCCTCTAGGATGCATTGGTAATCATTGTCTGTACCATGTCGTCCAATTTGTCCTCTATTGGCTATCTTATTAGTCAGTTGATTGATGGCCTGTGTCTGAAACTTGTTGAAAGAACATGCTGAAGAAAACAATCATGCAGAAAGTAGAGTTGTTCTCGAGTGGAAGCCTGCCTTTTGGGCTACTAATTTTCTTCACCATCTGAAAACCATATGAGCGTGACACGCCTCTTGTTGTTCAATAAACTGGTACTAGGCAGCACCATATTCCCACACTAACGCATATATAAAACTACATGAGTTTCACTTATTTACACTACACATAACCGCATCGACCACATAGAAGGTTAAGAGGGACTTTGCAGGACGTGAGAACCAATAGGAGAGGTGAAATAGCTTCAGATCATCACTTAATGGTAGTCGACATGAAACCAAAACTAAAGAAGCACCGGACAGCTGGGCCAACAGCATCACAAAAGTTTAATACGGCCTTTTTCGGGATATTGGTGAACTCAATAGATTCATTATAACTCTTGAGAACACATTCCAGACCTTTCGCTAGCTATTCAGTGAAGTGGAGTCTCCACGGAGAGCATCTGGGAATGGATTAAAGAGGCGGTAAATTTAAAGTTGCTGCTGTGCCAAAATAACCAACAACACAAGGAACAGCTATCCGCTGATTTTCTGGAAAAGATTCATAAAAGGAAGAAAAGAGAGGCCACAGTCAATTTCAGCCGAGCTAAGGCAGAGAAAACCAAGACACAGAAGCAAACAAACGAGTGAAGATGAGCATCAAAGTTGATAATCAAAACTTTGTGGACGAACAGGCAACCATAGCAGGAAAAGCTATACGAGTCTCATAGATGACCGTTTAATGGCTAATAGCATCTTAAACATTTCTGAGCGAACCTTAAAATACTTACTTAGGCTCAATCCTAACGCTGATCCTAATAGCAATACTCTGAAATTAATAGGAAAACCAAGCAGAATGGCTTTCAAGCACAAATCTCACTCCTTTCGAGCAGCAGAATTCTCTAATCGGCTATCAGCTGAGTTGGTCCAAGCGACTTCTTAGGAGTCTTCCATGGACAGAATTGAAATATTCTTAAGGGCTTACCAACTTTTTTCTTTAACTGGTCAAATTGATCTGTTTTACTACCTCAGAGGATGGACGCTTTACTTCTATTAGATGCGGAAGCTTTTTCTATTCCATCCACAACCATTTGAACTGTTCAAACTGTTTGAAAAGGCGCTCACATCAAAATTGGCGCTGCAGCTATGAAGTGTAAACATTGTGGATGCACCAATTTGGAGGAAGATCGTGCACGGGCTGACCTAATATGTCTCGATTGTGGAATGGTTATGGGTGAAAATGTTATTTCGTCAGAAGTAGAATTTTTTGAAACGAGTGCTGGTCAATGTAGTGCAGTCGGACGTTTCGTTTCAGATGAAAGTGTGTTCTAATACTCAATTCAGTCACTCGTTTAGGTCAGGCAGGAAACATCAAAGAATCACGACAGGTCACGGAAAATAAAGGTAGGCATGGCTTCTGTTGCCACGGTCGGCAAATTAGTTTTGGAAATGTTTAGTATGATATAAAATTACTACCTTAAACTCACCTGAAGCTTTACCATTAGATGTGAGATGTATCCAGTCGTCTTACCTCACTAAATGATGAAATCCGTATATTCAGTAAATAGATAGGTCTTGTTTGGTCAGTATTTCGGGTAGTTCCTCTTAGTTAATACCCCTGTCACATCATCGCATATCCGGATTTTATTATTTACTAAAGTTTATGTTTGGTTGAAATTTGATTATTTCAAAGTGTCAAACAAGTGCATTACAATCATGTAATGCAATCAACTTCAAGTTGTTTTGAAAACATCTAGCGGTAATCTAAAATCTGAAAAATTTACTAGTTGTTCAGTTGACAAAGTCGTAATGCGAAACGTGACTTATGAAAAACATACCGACAGTCAGTCAGTCAGTCAGTTGCAACGTAGAACTTCGTACGTAAGTACATCAGTTCATGTCGCCATACCACATCAGCACAGAGATGTAATTGTCAATTCAAATCCAATAGTAGTAGTAGTAGAGGTAGTAAAGGTATTAGAAGTAATCGGAGAGGTTAGGGTTAGAAGATACTATTCAAGAAGTATGATTCAGTGAAAAAAAGTTTAGAGAGTCGAATCTAGAGGTGTTGAAGAATCCAGGAGATTAGGATTTGAGAGAACACAAAGAATAAATGCACCGGCGCCATTGCGAACGATTTTGAGCCATGTCATTCAAGGTCTCTAACCATCGATTATTATCATCTCGCGGACCCCAACCAGGTAGTCGACAATTACCAACATGGCTAAGTCCACTCGTCAATGACTTCATAGATTTCCACCATGTTTTGGTTTGGCCGCCACTAACTTTACCGACAGTCAGGATCCACGTGTTTTAACTTCGGTACTTATAATTCGTGGTTGTATATCATTCCTAAAATCGCCCCGTATAGGCTGATTTATTTTATATTTATTTTATTTTAGTACACGAATTGGTACAAAGGGGCACCTAAATATTTACAATTCACACAAATTAATGAATTTGTGATGGGGTTGGAATACTTGTCATATACCCAAACCTGTCGGCGGTTTCCTAGGATGCCACACCCCGAGCCTTTGACTCGAAAGTCCAATCCCCTAGGTAGTGGAGCAACGTCTTACGGTAGCTAGTGACCAATAGTAGATGCATATGCCATTTGTTGCGTTAGGATACTGGAGCACGTGTACACCTTGGTTTGGAATTAGTGTTTTCCAACTCTTAGGTGGATCCCCCGCAGACATCCATTCGTTGTCGTATCTCAAATTCTAATCCGAATTCCTCATGACCTTTCGTCTCTTGTCAAATTTACCTCACTGGATCATATCTTCGATCCCTACTCTTTTCGATCACCGCTAATACTTCTATAATTTCTACTGCTTTGGGATTTGAACTGACAATCCCACCTGTCTGTCCCCTATGTGATATGACGATTTGAACTGATGTACTTACGTACCGAATTTTACGTTTTAGCTAGCTTGCTGACTGACTGACTGCCTATTTATTTTATTGTTCATTTCCAATCGATGGTAATATGAAGTGCGGCAACTTGAGTCAGTATGTTCGTACCAAATAACGAGACGGATTTCGTTTTATGATGTCATACTAAATTTTATTATATTTGGATTTTGGCCAATCGAGAAATCCAGGATGCTCATTTATCATGTGGAGTTCTCATTATCCTCATACTAACAATCAAATGTAGTTTTTATCATTCCACTAGCCAACGCGTTGTCTACTGAGATAATCAGAAAGAATCTTAACAGTTGTTTCTTTAATCATCGATCAACTCCATTCACATTCCTCAAATAAATTTTCTAAGATCAAAACTATTTCACAAATCATGTGACTAGATCACTTGTTGATATGCAGTTATAGCGAGTTTTCGAGTTTATCTAACTTTCAAAGAACTTACCAGTTAGTGTTTAATTTTCAACTGATGTAATTATTCTGCTATTTTACCGTTTATTTGTTCTGTAGCACGTTTTCTGATTCCTGAGTGATATTTTAGTGGGTTACACATTCGGTAGATGAGTTTCTTTAATACTTTGGTTATTATTACACGCTAGGTTACAAGTAATTCAGCAGCTAAATACATTTTTCAAAATAACAGTGTCCTGATTTCATGCAATGCAAATCTTAATTTCCAGTGATTTTCATTCTGTTTTGTATATATCTGTAATTATTGTCTTGACTTTTTTATAGCTCGTCGAAGGATTGACACTATTTGTGGCCAGTTACGCCTTGGCAATGACATAGCTCTGTCTGCCTTCCGCTATTATCAAAGCGCACTTTTTCGTGGGCTAACACGAGGTCGTAGTGCCTTCACAGTTGCTGCAGGTTGCATTTATCTTGCGGCTCGTCAGTTGCGTGTCAATTTAATGTTATTGGACCTCAGCGACGCAGTAGGAGTTAATGTTTACGTCCTCGGTCGTGTCTACGCAGACTTGAAGAAGCGACTGAACCTAGCAATACCAGAGATGGGTTAGTTTTATATGACCAATCGGCCAAGATTTGTATTTTGTAGAAACATTTCATTTGTATGATTTATGATTTTTCTATTAGTTCTCAGTTTACTCATCGTTGCTAAAAATAAGCAAGGGGGCTAGGTTAGGACCTCAGACTTAGTGTTCGAAAGGTGCACATCTTAACTAATAAGCCACTACTCCGTTCCGATTCCGTGCCTTAAGTTGCAAATAGTTCAGGGCTTCCGTTCATACTCCAGTTGTTAAATTATTTCACCGCTATCTAATTGGTGCTGACTTTCTACCAATTTGTAAAACAATATATATTAGTGTAAAGCCTTGATGAAGAACTAGTTAAAAAGGGATATTTTTTGGCTCATCTTATTTTTCTGATGTCCCAATGGAAATGTTTAAAGATCGAATTAGATCGATAAAAATGCGGTAATCATACTAATCATACTAAGATAAATATCTGCTTATTAGATAGGGTCGTCGAAGTGACAGAAATTAATGGCATTTGACCATAGATGGTATATTTGAAGATCACAATAAAAGAAGCAGATTCACGTTTGTGTCTATTAAACAATTTGGTATCTACAACTTATTTTCTTTTCCCCTTTCATGTCTATGATACATGTATTTGTCTCACACAAGAACAAAGTAGCCTCGTAACTGAATATTAGCCTTCATAAAAAACTGCAATTGAAACATTGTGTTTATAAACTGGTCATTTTAATAACCTTGGTTTTACATAGTAAATCTGCACTTAGAAGCTGGTTGCTAACATATCTGAGCTACAACTACATTTCGAGATAGTAGTGCATAACTGCTACTCCTGTAGTTTCTGGTATTTTCCTAAGGTTTTTTGATTTGTTTGTGATTTACGGATTTACTGAGTTATGCAGAAACCTCAATCAATTTACCAAGTACGGAGTCTGAGCCACACATTTTCAAGGCTTGTTTGAACTTTTTTGGCTACTCAAAATAAGTAGTTCAAACTTGATTGGAAGTCGAGCTCTTCGACATTTTCTTCGTTGTTTCTTCAGTCTACAACGTACGAGCACGAATATTAGGCTAGAAATTACAGATCTCTTAAGTATACGTATTTATTTTATTCGTTCTCAAGTTGTATATTTAGTTTTTTATCCCTATTGCTCGGCATATTATATCTTTTAAGATCCTTGTATATATATCGATCGTTTCGCTAGTCAACTGGAGTTTGGAGATAAGGTGTCAACAGTTGCTACGACTGCTATGCGTTTATTACAAAGAATGAAGAAAGATTGGATCGCAACTGGTCGACGACCCAGTGGATTAGCTGCAGCAGCACTACTTGTTGCTGCTCGTATTCATGAGTTCAACAGAACAGAAGAGGATGTAGCTCGAATTGGTATGCATAATCAATATTGATCATTTTTGATAACCTACGATTTTTATTTTCTATGTAGACTGCTTATTTGTACACTAGGTGCACATTTGATAATTACGATAATTTAGTCCTATTAGTTCGGAATTTGTGATTTCTGAAAAAGTTTTGCAATCAAATCCGTGATTCTATTTTTAATGGTATCGACTCTAGTTTAACATACAAAATAGTTTCTTAAGTACTGTTGCCCAGGTTAAACTTGATAATTTCAAATAAATTGATCAATGGGTAGGATGTTAATAATGAAATAATGATATGTTTGTGTTGTTTTAATAAATCGTAATTGGAATTTCTGATATCCTTTGACTTAGTGTGATCCGATATTTCGAAATAAATAAATAACCGAGAACTCAACCACTTAAATGCTAGCTACAAACGTTACCACTCATGGGAACGATCCGTCTTAGTTTTAGCAGTTTTATGAGATAATGATATAGTGCCATCCAAATGACAGCTTGTCAATCTTCTGCCACATCGTTGAAGTCATTTTTCACCTAAATGTTTGCGAACTGGTGTTGACTAGATGGTCAGTCAGTCAGTTACAACGTAGAACTTCGTAAGCAAATACATCAGTTCATGTTGCCATACCATATCAGCACAGAGATGTGATTGTCACTTTAAATCCAATAGTGGTCGAGATAGTAGAATTACTGTTAATGGAGGATTTGATACCATGTTAGTTAAAATGATTCATCTGTGATTGTCACAAGACGACTTTCGTCCTTTCTTGCAGACTGGGACAATCAGTGATTGAGACCAGCCAGATGGTATTACGCACAGTTCACAGAATCTAACTACGATCTCAGTCTATCTAGCTGCTGAAACTGGACCACCATCCTTAAAAATCTCAGGAATGTTAGCCTGTCAGGACCCGCTGCTCTACCCCAATTCCGATTTCCTATAGCTTCCTCAACTTCAGAAACACTAGGAGGACTTACATCGGCTTGCAATTCAGGATGACTTGAGATCGTGGGCAACCGAAGTGTGGCTGAAGGCCAGTTGAACTGATCCGTGAAGTGTTCTGCCCATCGATCCAGTCTCCTGGATTGAGAATGGATAATTTACCATCCTTTGCTGCGAAAGTCTCACTCACATTCGGGTTCCTGACACCGGTTTCTTTGGTAAAGCGGAAAAGTTGTCTAGTGTTGCCTATCGCCGCTGCCTTTCCCATCCCCCTTGCTTTCGCCACCCACCACTGTTCGCGTTCGTTGCGTAGGCTTTTTATCAGCCTGTGCCTAATCTGACTTCGCTCTTCATCATGTTCAGAGCCCGCTGGGATGAGTTTTCGAGCATCAATCAGTTCGGTGGATGCTACTGAGATCCACGGCTTCTTCCTAGACTTATGGTTTACCTTACTAGCAGATATCACTGCTGTTTCCACAGATATTTTTGATATATTTCCAACCTAACTCCGGATGGAGATCGCTTACATGGTCGCCCAACTATCTTTCTAGTTGTTCCTGAAATATATTCATAGCTCTGCTATCATTAGGTAGAGCCCTAAGAGGTTTCCTTGTGGTGTCTTTTCTACGTCCGGTAAGTCGCAAACAAATACGCGCTCGCACTATGGTATGATCTGAATCTAGACATGTTCCCCAGAACGAGCGACAGTCCTCTATCGAACATCTCCATCGGTGGCTAAAGGCAATGTGATCTATTTGGGTCCAGCGTTGTGACGAATTTGGCGGATTGCCAGGTCAGAAAATGCTTTTCCTTATGCCTAAAGTTAGTGTTTGCTAGAAGCAGGTGATTATCTGAGCACAGTTGCAATAGGCGGTCGTCATTATCTGTTCTCTGAGCCGAGACACCATAAGATCCATCCAGGTGTCTTTCATTTTCAATCAGTCTACCTACTTGAGCATTGAAGTCACCAGCCATTATTACTATATCAGAGTGCTTAACGTTTTGGGCGAGGTCCGGTAGCCTTCTGTAAAACTGATCTTTCACATCGTCTGAACTGCTGTCAGTGAGGGCGTAGGCAGATATAACGAAGAGGCAACGGTGAGTGTTCCCATATTTCCGAGTCCTTACTGTCCCGTTCAGTCGGACAGCGTACAAGTGACTATCTACTGGAATGCAGTCTAGGAGAGCTAGTTCTGCCCTAGGACTCAATACTATACCTACAGCAGCGAGACACGGGGAGCAGCATCAGCGCTTCCAGATACACGAAGGGTAAATCGAGTTGCTTCTTTATCTTGACATGAAGAAATCAAGTGAATGACTTTACTAGGATCCTGCATGCGCGTTTCGGAGACGCAGCATATATCGATTGAGCGAGATTCTAAAGTCCTAGCTAATGAAGTCTGTTGGCGTATTTGACACAATGACCGTACATTAAATGCTCCGATATGTAGTTTAGAACGGGATTTCAGGACACCAGGAATAACGTTTCGGGAACTCTAATCTTTTGCAGCAGAGGTGCGGAGTGATAAAGGAATCTGAATAGGGTTAGTCGTGAAGATAAGAGAGATATTAAGGGGTTTAGGAAGGATTTGTTTGTGACCAATTTGATCTCGCGTGCTGTTACGGGTATGAAGGAGTTTATCAAATCCCGGCTGCCCACATCGTGGAAGGGTGTTTCTTGAGGTACATAAAAGAAAGTTGGTTTGGTTTGGTCTTAACGACCCGAGAGCGTGACCGCAGAGTCCAAGGAACAACTGCTTGAGGCCAGTCATGCGCGGCCTTTTTATTAATGGTTTTTTGAGTATTAGCTCCGCTCTTAAAAGCCCTTATTGGGAAGCCCTCACCTCCGAAGACGGAAATCCGTGACGTAGGGTGAGGTGTGACATTTATAAGCTCTACCTTTTCTAACCCCTTCTTTCCTCGTGAGAAGGCAGCATCGCTGCAGATGCTGGTTGTCCGAGGGAAACACCTTACTGCTGTCACACCCCTATACAGTTGGCAGTACGACTTCGCCCTCAGACCTTAGTTGCAGCTTTTAGTCTAATTGTTCTCCAGTCGACCTGCCTGGCTTGGTAGAATCTTCAGGAACATATCTTCCAGCCAATATAGCTCGGTTGGGTCATCACAATAAGCAAGCCCGACTACCACGTCAGTGTATCAGCTACGGTTGGGGTTAACAAGATAGACTAGCTTCTGACACAATAACACTTCGGTGTTAATGATCCTCATACTAATAAGAGAGAAAATATGAAACTTTCAAGATAGCTTTATATTTCACACAACAGTCAGAGTCATAATCAAAATGGAAGTTAACATGGAATGACCTCGGAGAGCTTCAAAATTAGTCGCTTTCGAGCAATAACAACCAGGCAGCTAGCAGCAATAGTTGCTGCTGAAATCTGAATTTTAAAAAATATGTTGAGGTGATTCTTTGACACTCACCAACAAAAATTAGTTAACCTAGTATCTACTCAACGGTTTCTGAAGTTATCCAACTTATCTAATTAGATAATTTAACACTTTAGTTCATTGTATAGTATTTGACGTTTCCATAGTGTCGAAATAACCCTGTTGATATACTTACCATGTGTACTAGAAGATTTCTACGTAGATTCAAGTGAATTAATGTATTGTCTAACAATCCAATAATGAATTCGGTGCACCATTATATTGAATTTTGTGATGTGGTAGTCATATTACGTCTCTTAGTTTTTAGGTCCCATCAAACGTATTAAACTAGAGCGTACAATTCTGTTGTTATAAATATCCTTATCTTACTTGTTAATACATCTTACTAACATATAATCAATCTAAATATAATGTCATTTTTCGGTTAGTTTCACATTGATTCTAATTAACTGCTATTCTAATGAAATTTTACTGGAACTCACTCATAATTATCGAATTGTTTTTTTCAGCTCGAATCAGCCAAAGTACTGCTCGAAAGCGTTTAGAAGAATTTGGTCGCACTCCATCATCTGCTCTTAGTATTGAAGCATTTTTTTCAGTTGATTATACCGAAGAACAAGACCCACCAGCATTTGTTGCTTCAATGAAACAGGAAGATGAAAAGATAAAAGTAAGTTAACACACAACTACATGGCTCAAAATCGTTTGCAATGGCGCAGATGCATCCATTCTTTGTGTTCTGTGAAATTTTAATCTTCTGGATTCCTCATCACCTCTATCTTTCTCTTTCCAAATTTATCTCACTGAATCATACTTCTTGAATAATATCTTAGAACCATAATCTTCTCGATTACTGCTAATACTTCTACTATCTCTACCACTATGTGATTTGGACTTATAGTTGTGTCTTTGTGCTAATGTGGCATGGCAACCTGAACGTACTCACGAAGTTCTATGTTCTAACTGACTGATTGACATCCCGTAATTGTTGTTCAACAAATAATATAATAGTAATAATGTTATTCACTGAATAAGTATATATTTATATGCTGACGTTTAAGTCAAGTGATTTATGTAGTAAGTAAATGGTATTACCTGGCTTTGTAAGTCTAAATAATTAAACGTGGGTTTGAGCTTAGATTTATTAATTGGAAATTGACTGCCTCAATCACTAAGTCGCCGATTCAATTGAACAGTAAATTTGTAAATATTTTGTTTTGTGAAAATTTGTCTAGAATCAATTAAAAGAAACCATTAGTTCTTAGCATTAACATCTTGTTATTCGATAATAGTCTTTTGCGTCTTGTTGTGACTGGGTTGTTACAGTGATTAGACATCATGGTAGCAAGTACTCACAAGTGTAATTAATATTCACTTCAAATAGTTTCTATTGTCTGAAAATAAATAAAACTATTTAGATACCAAACAAACACTATTAACCTATATTCATATATAATTGAATCTGTTAACTCACCTGTTTTATCAAATAATTATAGAGTATGTCAGAAGGAGCCATGGCTCGTATTACCATGGAAATATCTGAATTAGAACGTCGTATAGACAACGAATTACAGAAACTGGCTGGGAAGTACACTGCACGTACTATTTCTACACAACTTTCCAAAATAGGTAAGTCAACTAAATAGTAGCAATAAACATTATTCTAATTATGATAATGGATGCTAAGTAAAAAATGACAATCGTGGGCTATCTAGAATCAATATTATCAGTTAATTAATTCATCAATTTTAAATCCAAGTCGTATGCAAACAGGCTTTTTCTGTACTATGATACACTCTGTTACTATCGTTCTCATCTTAGCATATTTATTGATAGATTTTCATGGATAACCACTGTCACATTGCTTGTACATCCTGGGACCATCGAATGAGCAATGCTGGTGTTAGAAAAATGGTACTTTGTATGGATGGAAAATCAATTGATGAAGTAGTGAATCTTCATCAGTCGAGGTGGTTGGAACGTGTGTATCGTTTGTCCAATCATCGACTACCTTGACGAACCATGTCGTCTCATGCAGGGATAGGCTGGAAGAATGCTAGTAGATACGGCCAAACGAAAATATAGGACAAGTCCATGAAGTCACTGAAAACTGGATTGAGACACGTTGGTAGGTGAAGATTACCTAGTTGGGTTTCGCGAGACAATCGTAACCGATGGTTAGAGATTTTGAATGACGTGGGTTCAAGATCGTTTGCAATGGCTCAGGCACACCCATTCGTTGTCGTCTCTCAAATTTTTAATCTTCTGAATTCCTTATGACCTTTCGTCTCTTGTCAAACTTAACTCACTAGATCGTACTTCTCGAATCATATCTTCGATCCCCAATCTTTTCGATCACCGCTAATACTACTATAACCTCTACTATTTTGGGATTTGAACTGACAATTCCACCTGTCTGTCCCTTATGTGACGATTTGAACTGATGTACGTGCGCATCAAGTTTTACATTGTAGCTAACTGACTGACTGACCGACCTACTGTGATGTTGTAAGGGCAGTAAATCTCATGGTTCCTTTTATCAACTTATTATTTCAGCTGATTGGTCTATTTCAAACCGTTTGTCGTTATTCTCAAAACACCCCATATAGTTTCGTTTGGTTAGACTTAGCACTGTTTCTAACCCTAATGCAGCTAATCCATATTATTGAATGCATAAGCTATCGATTTCTACCTTGTTACTAAGATTGTCTAACTATTTTTTTTAGCATCTTATTAGTGATTGAATTTGGGATTTATACAAATCGAAATGATTACTACTACTTGATATTTCCTCGTACATTGGGATTGTAAATGTTTTTAATTTAAAGTGTTTTAATTTTTTTCTAATTGTAATATTCTGTTTTAAATTGAGTTTCAAATCAAAGGTTGTATGCTTTGTATTTGGCACTGAACATACTGTTTTACACTGCTTCTCTCTTATTTTATACGTTTTTATTTTATTTTTCACGTGACAGTGTTAGCATAAAACAATTTAGTATAGCTTGATTGGTTAGTATTGCTAGGTTATAGTCGATTATTAGAAAAATCCCAACTTTTAATAATTATTGTTTTACTTTTCGTTAATTTTCAGATGTTGGTTGTTCTAAAGGCATAAAGCATTTACTAGCTGAAATGTCAGATTCACTTAAAACATTTGATATTGTAAATGATTTACAAAAATTACCTAATAATAACATTGATTGTAGCAATACTGATACTACTGATACAACATCCATTACAACCGATAGTGTTGTTAATCAATCTAAAAATGGTCAAGTTCGTGGAATATTACGTGATGTTTTAGATGGTTTAGTTGAACCAGAATTATTAGATAGTTGTGTTGAAGATTTACATATATTAACTCAACATTCTGGTACTAAAATGTGTCAACTTTTGGCCGAAGCTGAAGAGAATAGAAATTCGGTTTCTGTGAATAGTGAACAAAAACAAATAGTACAAGATGCTGACTCTAAACCATCTGACATTGAAGAAACAAGTATTACTGGAACCATATCAAAAGGTAAGTTCTATTTATGTTGTTTAATTTTAATGTAGTTCGTAGTTTAATTTTTTCAAGGCAGTGTTAATTAGTAATGAGATACCGATTAATTACTGATCAGGGCACTAAATAGCATGAATAATTCGGTTAGTTAACACATAGACGTTCCTCGGGCGAAATGGTTGAGATACGTCTTATCCTTGTCCATTCACGGTCTATATTGACTCTGAAGTAGACCGGAAATAGTCTAGGAGCGGATGGACTGCAAGGTTATGGGTTCATGAAGCTACGTAATGAAACCTGTCGGGCAATAAAGAGTTGGTTGAAGGACTTAGACAGTACTACTAAATATTGATACGTATATACTCCTTTTTTAATCTGAATATTGTTTTATAATTTTCGTTCCCTTATTCATTATAAAATGTCTCATACATTTAATTTTCCGATGTCATTGATTTCATTGCTTCAGCTCTGTAGTTTATCATCTTAATTTCCTCTCACTATTCTAGTATCAAGTAAGGGAATTCTTCCTGACCCATTTATATCAATTCCCATAATAGTTATAACTAACTGTTCGCATAATTGATTGAATATCAGTTCAGACTGTTAAGAAATAGTTTCAATGGAACGGGGGCTTAGTGGTTAAGGTGTTTAAATTTTAACCATTAGGTTGTAGGTTCGAATCTCACCTTACCAGGTAATTTAATTAGTCCTAAATCTGTAATTAATGATATGCATTATATAGTTAAATCGAATGCGCTTTACTTATCACTGACTGTATATTCAGCGAAATGTTCGTTTTTTCGCTTGTGATTATTTTACTCCAAAATCTACACAATTATTAGATCTTCAATAAACCCACTATTTATTTCAGAATCAAATGTAGGATTGGTTAATGATTGTAACAGCCGCATATATATTTTACTTTCTTTCATTAGGTTATTTACTGTTTGGTTGAAATATTTATTATTCATTTCTATCTTTCTTTTTGACTGTTATCAGGTACAAAGTGTTTGAAACTGCCCGTTTTCATTCCATCAACAACTGTTGTTACAAAGGAAGAAAATAAAAGTAGGTAGATTATTTTATCAACTGTTTTAGTAATGATAATAATGTCTGTTTTCTTATTGTTAATTTTCATATAATTTAGAAAAACGATCTGATTGATTTAACAGACAATATTGCTCATATAAGAGTCCTATTTGAATTAATTACAATGAAAAGTGTTACTACATGTAAATAACTTGTATTCCGCTATTGATAACAATGACCTCTTTTGCTTCCCAACCGTTCAGGATACATATTTTCAATAATTACTCGATTGTACTTTCTATCTCGTCAGATACTCTCCTAGAATGTGTTGCGTATGCCCGTCCATCTACTACTGTGGCGCGCGATAATGATTGATTCAGGAGTAGGCTGGAAGGTAGGAATGATCAAGTCAACATTTGGAGTTAGCCCATAGACTGGATCATGTAAGCAGATTCAAACTACTTGATTTCACATTGTCAAAATAAAGAAGCAACTCGATTTACCCTTCGTGTATCTGGAAGCGCTGATGCTGCTCCCCGTGTCTCGCTGCTGTAGGTATAGTATTGAGTCCTAGGGCAGAACTAGCTCTCCTAGACTGCATTCCAGTAGATAGTCACTTGTACGCTGTCCGACTGAACGGGACAGTAAGGACTCGGAAATATGGGAACACTCACCGTTGCCTCTTCGTTATATCTGCCTACGCCCTCACTGACAGCAGTTCAGACGATGTGAAAGATCAGTTTTACAGAAGGCTACCGGACCTCGCCCAAAACGTTAAGCACTCTGATATAGTAATAATGGCTGGTGACTTCAATGCTCAAGTAGGTAGACTGATTGAAAATGAAAGACACCTGGATGGATCTTATGGTGTCTCGGCTCAGAGAACAGATAATGACGACCGCCTATTGCAACTGTGCTCAGATAATCACCTGCTTCTAGCAAACACTAACTTTAGGCATAAGGAAAAGCATTTTCTGACCTGGCAATCCGCCAAATTCGTCACAACGCTGGACCCAAATAGATCACATTGCCTTTAGCCACCGATGGAGATGTTCGATAGAGGACTGTCGCTCGTTCTGGGGAACATGTCTAGATTCAGATCATACCATAGTGCGAGCGCGTATTTGTTTGCGACTTACCGGACGTAGAAAAGACACCACAAGGAAACCTCTTAGGGCTCTACCTAATGATAGCAGAGCTATGAATATATTTCAGGAACAACTAGAAAGATAGTTGGGCGACCATGTAAGCGATCTCCATCCGGAGTTAGGTTGGAAATATATCAAAAATATCTGTGGAAACAGCAGTGATATCTGCTAGTAAGGTAAACCATAAGTCTAGGAAGAAGCCGTGGATCTCAGTAGCATCCACCGAACTGATTGATGCTCGAAAACTCATCCCAGCGGGCTCTGAACATGATGAAGAGCGAAGTCAGATTAGGCACAGGCTGATAAAAAGCCTACGCAACGAACGCGAACAGTGGTGGGTGGCGAAAGCAAGGGGGATGGGAAAGGCAGCGGCGATAGGCAACACTAGACAACTTTTCCGCTTTACCAAAGAAACCGGTGTCAGGAACCCGAATGTGAGTGAGACTTTCGCAGCAAAGGATGGTAAATTATCCATTCTCAATCCAGGAGACTGGATCGATGGGCAGAACACTTCACGGATCAGTTCAACTGGCCTTCAGCCACACTTCGGTTGCCCACGATCTCAAGTCATCCTGAATTGCAAGCCGATGTAAGTCCTCCTAGTGTTTCTGAAGTTGAGGAAGCTATAGGAAATCGGAATTGGGGTAGAGCAGCGGGTCCTGACAGGCTAACATTCCTGAGATTTTTAAGGATGGTGGTCCAGTTTCAGCAGCTAGATAGACTGAGATCGTAGTTAGATTCTGTGAACTGTGCGTAATACCATCTGGCTGGTCTCAATCACTGATTGTCCCAGTCTGCAAGAAAGGACGAAAGTCGTCTTGTGACAATCACAGATGAATCATTTCAACTAACATGGTATCTAAAATATTGGCCTCAATAATACTTCGACGCTTAACAAAATCCCGGGAAGAGCAGACTAGAGTAAACCAGTCTGGTTTTCGACCTGGAGTTGGCTATATAGACCATGCTTTCACTCTACGACAAGTCCTGGAACACAGACACACTGGCAACCAACAATCGTAGTCTTCTTGGACGTAAAGGCGGCATTTGATTGTGTGGATCGTGAGGATCTGTGGCAATATCTGTCATTGAAAGGTGTACTAAAGAAGTACATTAACCTTATACAACCTCTACTCGAACACCACTGGTCGAGTGAAAGTCTATGGGGAACTGTCATCTCAATTCTCGACTTCAAGTGGTGTCCATCAGGGCTGTCTAGTCTCTCCATTCTTGTTTAACTTTGTCGTAGACATGCTTTTACAGTTGACATTATCCTCGTCAGATTTTTCAAGTATGGCTGGTAAGAGTAGAAGGTATTCGTAGGTTACTAGTATACGATCACAGATGTCTTCGAAGCAGTGTTCGTGTATCCAGGGACAACGGAGTGAGCAACGCTGCCATTAGGATACGAGTACTAGGTAAGGATGGCAGATCAATACCGAAATTTATCTCTGTTTCTCATCTATCAGCTATGTTAGGTGTAAGTCATTTCAAGGTGTTAACAAAGTTTTAAATGAACCAATCAGCTGAAATAATAAGTTGATAAATGGAACCATGAGATTTAGTGCCCTTACAACATCACAATAGGTCAGTCAGTCAGTCAGTTAGCTACAATGTAGAACTTGATGCGCACGTACATCAGTTCAAATCGTCACATAAGGGACAGAGAGGTAGAATTGTCAGTTCAAATCAGAAGAGACTGTATGACGTAGAAAATTAATTGAACAAATTATCACAATGGAACCAAAAGTTAACTAACTGATTATTTGTTAGTGTTAATGCATTTTATTTCTTTTTGAATAGAGGGAGACAGTTAAAAAATATTGAATTTACTGTAATCTTTAAAATTACAATCTAATTTGGATAATGATGTTACTACTCAGGAATATTTCTTATTCCATTATTGTTCTTGTAATGATCTGCATTAAAGTATTGAGTGATTATCATAATTTTATTTTGGTTTATTATAGTCCAAAGTCGATAATGCTATTCATTTTACTCATATCTTTGTGTTGCTGTGTATTTTTAGTCGAAGATGATGCTTTGTACACTGGAGATATTGATGATGAAGAATTAGATCGAGTGAGTACTCTTTTTTATACTAAACGGAATATGTTTTGTATTTTCTGTAGATTTGTAACTTTTTTATCTGAAAATTAGTTTTAATTGTAAGGTTATATCATTTATTTTGTTGGAAAAGTAACCAATAAATACTTAAATATTGTTTTTTTTTTAAATAAATGTACTACCTCATCTTAGGATCGTTCTCTCTTGAAAATCATGAATTTGAGATGAGAACAGAATAAATGTGTGTGACAATAAACTAAATAACTAAAAATCTTACCGTTGGGTTATTGTTGTAATTATACTGCTCTGTGTAATCTTATTTCAGTGAACTTATCACGAAGCTAGTCACTGTTGAACAGATGTGATTATTAGTATAAGGTTGTTGGAGTTGCTGAGTTTCACTGAAGTCATGTGCCGATCAGTGTTGGTGAAGGGATTCTCAAATTTCTTATGAGAAAATATGACCAGTTGAGTTCAGTTGTGTTGGTTGTGAGGCAGTTACCCACCATTGACATTGAATAATTATTGGGCAATGTCATGGATTGAATAAAGTCAAACATTAACACAGGTCGTTGCTGGTTCAGTGATCAAGAGATTAAGCATTCGCACAAGAGATCGATGGTCCTGGGTTCGATTCTTGCTTGTGGGGTCATAAATGTGCATTGCTGAGGAGTGTCACAGCAGGACGACAAAACTGTTCAATGTCTCCACGTTTCTGTAGATCGGTTCATGATTTCAATGAAACTCAACTGTCTCCACAACCCTACACTGATTTTTCTATTGTCGAAATCAATGAGTAGAAGGTTGATCGGTCGGTGATAAAGAATGAAACAACGTGACGAAATGATAGCTGCACACAAAAATAATTCGCTAACTAATGCCCCAAAATAATTTGAAATCAAAAGCAAGAGGAATGGTTTTTCATGCAATCAACTGATGCGTTCATGTACAAGATATTAATACAAAAAGATTACAAAATACCATGGGCAATTAGAGTAAATCACTTTATAGATCAATTACTATTCAATCAATTATAACCTGATTAGTAGGCCTTAATCTTTTGTGTATTACATCGTATTATTATGCTGTTTTTGTTATTCTAGGAGTACTTACTTCAACCTAGAGAAATTATGTTAAAAGCAGCTATTTGGTTCAAAGCGAATGCAGAGCATCTCGAATTGTCAAGAAGTAAGTATATAGTTCTTTTCTCGTGCAACTTTCTTAGTTAAGATTAATTATGTTGTTGACTTCATTAAGGATGTAATACATTAATTTAGAGCATAAAACGTATTCTATATGTTCAGCATTTTACAGATAACAAGAATATTTGAAAATAAAGATACTAAAATTAAAATACCATAACTTTTACAAAATAAAATTGTGTCACAGTAATTTACACTGCTCTTTCTCATTCATCACATCATCTACATCGAATTTACTTTTTCTATCATTTTAATGTAAGCATCTAAGTTGTTTGTTTATTCATCTTTACGTGACTGAACTGTGCTAAGCCTAGTACACACTTGTACTTGTCTATTAAATTGGGTTTTCCTGTCAAGTTGCACAAAGTGAAGCATTTCAATTCCAATGCAAATGTATTATGTTATATGTACACTGCTACATTGATTCATCGCATTTAATCTAGATGTTGTATAGGAATTGTTATTACAGTTTTCTGTAAGGTATATTAATTTAAAACTTTCTTGTTTCTCGATTTGATTTTTTCTCTGATAAAAAAATATTCAGAACGAAGACTAGCCAAACTACAAAAACAACAGCAACAACAAGAACAACATGAAGATACTAAAACTGGTCATAAAAAGGTTTGTCTATCTGTTTGAATGTTAAGGCAGTGATTTTCCCTAATTTTATTTCTCATTTGGTAGTTTCAAATGATTTGAATCAACTAACTCTTTTCTGGTTTCTGTTTTGTCTCTTTTCAACTTATTTAACATAAGTCAACATAACTAGTCGAATTGTTTAGTGATAAAGCGTCAGGTCTGATATATATATATATATATATATATATATATATATATATATATATATATATGTCTTGTTTTCATTGCTGTGAGGTACTACTTCATTCGAACATGGGATTCAAAAAAGCATTAAACTATCATTAAGAAATTTTCCGTGTAACCCATATGAACAAATGATCGATAACTTCTGAAAAAGAATACACATACACATGTCCTAAGACAGAAGTTATATCTTAGAGTGATTAAATTTCGTCATTATCATTTGCCAATTTTTGTTAATTTAGAAGTAACCAAAACTTATTAACTATAAGTCTGAATTTCGCAATTTCTCAGTGTTTTAGTGTTGTACCTATTTTATGAGTAACTTTATAGCTTTTTGACTTTTATTGTCGAATATCTCTTAATGTTTCGCTCGTTGTATTTACTCTATACAGCGTAAAACGGTCAGTCGTAATAATTATGCAGCATCAAGAATGAATCGTAATGTTATTTCCAGAGCAGATGATCCGAAACCGATGTCTCGTAAGATTAACTATGAAGCTCTTGAAGCAGTTGTTGGCCTTTCAACAACCTGTCCACCAGTTGACGTAATCAATAAGAACAGTGAAACGGTATCGGTAACTGATGTGGATACTGTCACTGAACCGAGACCTGGTCCATTACTTGCATCCACTTTATGTGATAATGATAATTCTGGAGATTTATTCAGATCTCCTAAATATATCCGAAATGACAATAGTAATAGCAGTAAACACAAGTTACTTGCATCTGCGAATCTAGCAACGTTATCCAATAATAATAAATATACAGTGCAAGGTCAAGATTTAGATGATCATAACAATAAGCGTGAGAGTGAAGAGGAGAACAACAGTGAAGCAGAAGAAGAGGAAGACGAAGAAACTGTTGGCGAAAACAACATTTATAATTCATATTTACCAAATTATAGCCATGAAATCGATGATGATGATAACAACGATATAGATTGGTCTACTGGTGCTGAATTATGGTGAACAATATATTTTCCACTCAATAACAGTAATATCCTTAATGTATATAGTTGTATACATGTTTGTAAATGTATGCTCCTCTGTCTGTATGTATGTATGTATATATCTATTTCCTTGTTTCTTTCTTGATTTATTTATTTGACTATCCTATATTTGTTTGTGTACATAACTTATTTGCATTTATTTTAATATAGTGTTTATTGAATTGTAAAATATTATCAGGTTACGAAACATGATTTTGTTCTACGTTTAGTATTTGATGTCCGAACTTTAATAGTTTTTTTTATGCAACATGATTTTTCGTATCACTATGAATATATTATTTTATATATGATTACTCTAAATATATACTGTTTTAATCAAATGCTTTTTGTTTATCCTGTGCATAGTTATCGGTTCTAATGTTTGTACGATAATGACTTATCTTGGTTCTTATTTTAATCCATGTATCAGTTTACTAACTTGGGGAATGGAAATCATCTTAACCAACTTCAATACTAATCACACTCACTTTTTTTCACCTCATTCTGCACGTTTTGCATTCAATCACTGGTTCAACAAATTATCTTTACACAGTCAAATGTTTACGATAGCAGTGATCAACCTGGGAAAGAATGAGAAGTAGATCTATAAAAGCTCATTCCATACTGAGAAACACTTTCACAAAGTTTAATAAAAATGACCTAATCAATGCAGATGACTGGACATAATAGCCTCAGAGGTAATCATTAAAAAGTACAATAAGTTAATTAGAATTAATGATCTTTGATAATTGATACACCTAAAAAACGTTTTAAGTAATAAACTGAAATTCCTTTTTCAATGAAGAAACATTACTTCAAGCTCTATAAAAATACATTTCATTTGTATAAAAGGGAAAAAGCTTTGATAATATAAATCTTTTTAAATAAATAAATAGACACAAGTATGTGATATTATAATGATTCAACTTTTATTAGTGTTTATTTTAATGTTTGCCTCCAGTTGATAGGATTGAATTTCAATTGTTCTCTATCTTCTTCAATTTCGTTTCTTTTCTCAACTTTTCTAATTCTCTCATTTTCTTCCATGATCTATGGAGAAAAAGAAACAGTTGGAAGGAAAAATATAGGAAGAAAGAAAATTAAGGAAAGCAATTATATGAGACTATGTTTTGAAAAACAAACTCATACTGTATAAGTTTAATTAAGACATGAATTGATAGGTTTTAATACTACGAATAAACTCCATCCAAGATGAAGGACAGTGGGTCAATTTGGCAATATCTTAATATTTACTCTAAAGATGGTAATTGCTTATCAAATTTTTTTTGATGGTTGGCTAATTATCACAGTTCGTTTCTTAAGAATAAAAACAAGAATTGAGTCAGTTTGACATTGAACACATGTTCAATTACTTGCTGTTATTTACAAAGTAAATGCGTCATCAATATGACGAGGGCAAATGAAATTGGGTAATCTAATAATTAAGACATGGATTACTCAAGAAGAAACTTGTAAATCAAAATAGAACGGTAAGTAAAACTCGTGATACTTGATAATGACAGTTAAAGGTTAAAGTAAGTTAATAGGCTGTGTAAACATTGTCTTTTTCCGTTAGTCAACTCAGAAAATGGAAATGAGAAAATGTATTTGCATGCTTGCACGCCCGATATCACTTGCTCCACTGAAGCAGTTGAACTGGTAAGAACGTTTAAAAAATGGAAGCTAGATTCCCATCAAATTCCAGCCGATGTGTTCATAATCTTACGAGTGTTCATCTGTGACTGTTTAGAAAATTTTATTTCATGGTCCCTAATTTTGTGTTGGTTATGTGTTAATAAGAGGAGTATACAAGTTCACCTTGGAAACTTACACAAACACTCTCTTGAAGTAGGATGATATAGGTATACCTTATTCTATCCTCATAAATTATCACTACTAGTGTAGAAACTGTTAGTATAAAAGAGATGTTATTGAAACCAAAAGAGAAAGAATCTTTATTCCAGCTGAATGTAAGTGAGAACCAATTAAATATCAAACCTAAAAAGAGCTCAGGATAAAAGCTTATATCGAACATATTCATTTATTACTCAATGACCATTGCAAACTTCATAAGTTATCTAAACACTATCTGGCAGAGGATATTAAGTGACCCTAAACAGTTTGAAAAAAACACGTCTCAGAACTTATACTTAAGACTGAGTCTTATTGGTTCTATAACACCTAGGCTTTATGGCATGCTAGAAGTATAAAAAACTGGTTTAGAAGTTCTTTCAATCCCACATATGTTAAATTCATGTTCTGCTGAAATGTCAAAATGGGTAGTAGAAATTCTAAAACAACTATAGAAAGACATAAAAGGTCGCTTCAAATTTATGGATAAAATTAGAAATTTGTAGGGGGACACTAAAGTCATATCATCAAATGTATGATCTTTATTCACAAACATGCTTCCTACGGTAACATTTGATTTCATAATTAATAAACTGAAAACTCGATGAATGAAGATTAGTATCCGAATTTCTCAGATGTACGATAAGTATGAATTTCCTGTTTGATCAGAAGCTGTTTGGATAATGTGACCGTATCACTGTATAAATATATACTTTATTTGTAACTATAATTTTACTGATGTTGTCGATCTGAGTCAATCTACATATTTCTGCATAACCCAAGTAAGAGTATCAGTGTTGAATTATCAAGTTTTGTCCACTAAAATGTTTTGCTGTTGGCTTGCACAACTATTATAGTATATAGCTCAATGTTTGAGAATCGTAATTACTGTTACGAAATGTTAAATTTTTGGAATTTAACTATTTGGTTTTCATACGATCAACTAAGACTAATGTCCTTTCTTATTACAGCAAAAATTCTCTAATTCCACCTTTTATAATGGTCGTGGAAGTAACTTCGAGAAACGTTTCACGCTAAATTGAAACGCCCTTACAAGCCTAGTATTTTACTTTAGTCCTATCATTTGTCTTGGTTCAGAAAATTATTTTCATATATTATGAGGTATCATGTTGAAGAACTAAAAATCTAACTAATAATGAGTAGATACTAACATACTACTTCAAACTAAATGATGAACAGAAATAAAAATATATAAGTACTTATCAATTAGACCCACCTTTTTATTCATATCTCTGAATGTGAGTAGAAAAGCACGTTTCTGTTGTTCACTTATCATCTTATCATGAAAGTATTTTTGACAATCATTTTCTATTTCTCTGCCTTCTGTTTAATTCGAAAAAAAAATAGATATATAATCGCGTTTATTTAGTGATAATCAGTTTACCTGCTGATTTAGTTAACCATTCTTCTTTTTTTCGTTTAATTTTATCCATCATTTGTTGTTTTAATCCTTCACGTATATATTTCCTATTCGTAAGGTTTAAATGATTTGAAAAAAAAAATAGTAATTCAAGTATCAGCTATTATTATCATTGTCAAATTCGATTATTTGCCAGATTATTGTGATTGATGATGTGAAAAAATTTTTTTAGTTTCCAAAGAAATAAATTTAGTAATGACTTACGCCTGTTACCCCCAACAGAGCATAGTCAACCGACCAGTATTCTGCAGCCTACCCTGTCCTGGGCCTCCATTTTCTGTTCTGTCCAGTTCATTATTTTGTCCATTATTTTCATATCTGTCTCCATTTCTCAGCGTGATGTGTTTCTTATCCTTCCTCTTTTCTTTTGTCCTTGAGGGTTCTAAGTGACGGCTTGTCTTGTTGGTCGCTTTTCTTAGTGTGCGTCCTATCCACTTCCAGCGCTTCCTGATTTCTTCCTCCGATGGAATTCGGTTTGTTCTTTCCCACAGTAGGTTGTTGGTCATAGTGTCTGGCCAACAGATCTGAAGTATTTTGTGTAGATCACTGTTCATAAACACCTGTACATTGTGGATGCTAGCTTTGGTAGTTCTCCAAGTTTTCGCCCCAAACAGTAGGACTGTCTTGACATTTGTATTGAAAATTCTAACTTTGATGTATGTTGACAGGGAGAGATCGTCTTTCCCTTCAGTCAGCATAGTTCGACAATTACAATCCTCAATAAATTTTTCAATCGTTCTGTTTATTAAGTTATTCTATTTCATCAACTTATCTACTAAAGTTTTATGGAACAACTAACATCTTCGGGAGTTTCACTTACTGTTCATATCATATAAAACTTTTATTTTTAATGCGAGCATTTTTGCATTGAAAACACAATTAAAAGTACATCTGTCCTTAATGGTATGATTTAGACACTTTATATTTATATTATTAGTGTACCAATAAGTAAAACGTTGATTGAATAGGTGGATCATTTACAGATATAACCCTAATCCAATTCCTACAGCTGAATCCAAAAACTCTGATTCATTTTTCAGGAAGAAAATATGATAGGCTAGATCAATCAGACACATCAGTTTAAATCAAATAGTAAGTTAGAGATGATAAGGAGCTCACGCTACTGATTGAGAAAATTTGTGCAGATATTTTGATTTTATAAACCAAAATCGTGTTCTTCTCACTCTTGATCTCAGTTAAGTAGAATATGAGGACTGTCTATAGGAAACGTTTAATAATAGTGTCAATGTTGTTCAACTTAACAACTTGATAATTTTGGTTCATAAAGTTTGATAAATTATATGATCAAAGCAGTGTAAAAGAATATTATTACTTTTGGCAACGTCATAGTATGACACCTTGTCAATACACCGATTTACTTTTATTATTACGATCAAATCAAAACTAACGTTGAGTAGATGGTGTTTTACCAGTTTATGACTTCGTATTTAACATAAGTTTATGGTATTAAACACCATTTAGGGTTTTGTATGATATCAAATGAAAACGTTAGTGAATACAGAACTAATTTCTGCCACCTATATTACTTCATTACTTGGAGAAAAATTCAATGGCATAACAAACTTTTCTTAATCAGTCATTTAAGCATTCAAAAGGGGATGTTCAATTAAGGAGGAAATAAGTAATAATCATTTTCCAAACTGGTTATTAACTGATAGCAAATTCTTTTCGTTTGAACAACCTAATAATATCAGTGATCTGACACCTAAGATGATATTCATGTTGTGTAAACAAACTAATTATTTAAACATCTCTGCATGGAACCTCCATGAGGCTACTGCCAGTCCCAAGCCAGGATAAAGAACGAGGCTTGGGGTTTGCTATCTCATCCCGTAGGAAACTAACGCGCTAAAACAACGCTAACCAGAAAAATCAATTCATATTATTTTAGCTCTGCCCTGGAAGTTAGACGGTCTTCTTTCAGAAAAATTATGACGCCTCATGATGAAAGCCAAGTTCGTTTTGAAATCAGGAGGCCGATGCCCTTTCTCACAATCAAAGCAACCATTCTTTTAGGTACATGGAATGTTCGGACATTGTGGGAGAACGGAAGACTATTCCAGGTTGCTGCAGAAATGAAAAGATACGACCTGCAGGTGCTTGGAATCAGTGGAACACATTGGACACAGGTTGGACAACTAAGACTAACTTCAGGGGAGCTGCTGTTATACTCTGGTCATGAAGAAGAAAATGCTTCACACACAAAGGAGTTGTACTGATGTTGTCCAAACGAGCACAAAAGGCACTGATAGCATGGGAATCTCAGGGACCCAAGTATATATATATATCCATTTTGTGAAGAAACATATTCGCAATACTCAGCAAAAAATTCAAACATAATCATTTTTTGTTGTGAACCGTCTCTCTTAGTTTAAAAGTATGCACTTTTAACTAGCTTTTAAGTTATTTTAAAGAAATCTTTTGCTAACTGAATGTTCACATCTTGTAGAAGAAGTATTTTAGCATTTATTTGTTTCAATATAACTACTATGATTAATGGAAAAACAAATATGATATAGACAACTATAAGTTATATGGCCGACATAAATTGGTGATGATGAGATATTATGAGATAACTGTCAGATTTCTTCAAGGATGCATTTTGTATTTCTAATACCCTAGATCTCTACTTTTTGTTGTTTTGCACTAGAACTTCAGGAACCTAGCCCAAAGCTAGCTACTTGTAAGCACATGACTATTAATTATATTATAAAAGATTGGTTGAAATTTCTCAGCTGACCTATCACTGTGTTTTCATATCATGCGAGCTTGAAAATCGCACGACCTTTATAGAGTTCGTCTATTATAATAGTGTGGAACACGTGGTTTGTGCTTCAAGTGATAACAACTAACCGATGCTTTGCTTAAAAGCGTTTTTTTGTGATCATAACATTATTAAAATAAAATTTGTTACAAACAAGAGTTAGCTCACATTTTTTTTCTATTTCACCTACATCTGCTTTCAAATTCCTTCACAAAAAGGTTAATAAACTCTATAAATCAGATTATTTCATGAAAGTAGTCAGTATTATGTACAGAATAATTTTACTATATGACGACTAGCTGTTTAAGAAAATAGTGAGAATTTTCAGACTAGAATACGTTCGGGACCTTTATTCCCACTGTAAACGTAAATCTGTGATTCGAGATTTGAGACTAGTTTATTAGGTTCCTTTCTCATTTTCTTTCTAAATTAGTCTTTTAACTAAAAGTGAGTTACCCTGAAAATGTTTTAGATTCCACTGATTATTAATTTAAGAGTTTGGAAATATATGCATAACCTCTCTTGTCGCTAATATTTACGTCTTCTGGGTTTACAAAGTTCAGACACTATCAAGTTGATGCATACAAACTTCTTCAGTAATCGAAAGAGTCAGACTTTATTTCTATATAATAAGATGAATTAGACACAAATATGTAGATAAAACGCAAAGTAACAGATATCCTTGTGTTTTTATTAATTAATTTTGAAATATATTTCTAAAAAGTTCAGCCCTGAATTTCGAGAATATTTCATTCTCTCTGGCAGTCACTGACGATCCCTAATACCTTTTGTTATTCATTATATGGTTATATACAATATAAATTTTTGAAGTACATTGGATCATTAAAAATTTGGACTGAACAGCAGGAAATATGTATCTCTACAGATGTTAGTTTTTTTCAAGCTTTCAAGAAATTTTAATCAACATTTAGTATTTTTTTCGGGAAAATGATTCCTGAAAATTCTTGTCTAAATATCCAACAGATCGATTTGTCTTTGTAAAGTAGCTTGATAAAGTCAACGAATACGTAGTAGCTTATTGTTTACATTGCAATGAATAAAATTAAAAATCTTTCTTTTTTGGGGTATATTCGCTTATCTATTGCATTATCATGCGTAAATCAATATACTATCTGTTTGTGTATTTCATAGACGATTGACATATTTCCATGATATAACAATAGTATGCCTGGTTATACCATACTGAATGAACATTAGAGTTTATATGGTTTATTATATTTAACTTTAATAACGTCGAATTCAAGTAATCCGTTCACATACAAACTCAATTATTGAATACCAAACTTTAAATTGATTAGTTCATAAACTATTCAATATATATTATAACTTACCGATAATCTTCTTTCTCTTGTAAATTACCATAAAAATAATTTGAATAATAATGATGATAACGATCATATTCATTTCTTAACATATGATTAGCTCTTTCATGAATATAATTACTAGCATCAGTTGTTTCAGCTAGTATATTATTAGCATGTTTTGAATAATAATAAGGATTAATTCTAGGCGGTGGATTTGGTGCATATTTTACTGGTGGTGGATAAACCAGATAGATACTACGAGTACGTAGTGTTGACTGAATAGGTGGTGTTGTAATTCTATGCTGATTATCATCAATTGATTCTAAATTAGTTGAATTTTCTTTTATTAATTCATTTCCATTCATTGCTTGTTAATTAATGTAAGACAATTATACTATCATTGTTGTAATTTGATAAATTTGAATCAAACTTTATAAAGTACATTTATGTGTAGTCTTCATTTAATATATTTATTATTTTTTTTAAAAAAAAATAATATTTCTGAAAGGAAAAAGAACTAACAACCAATCAACTGATTTGTTAATAGTTTATTTTTTATTCTCGATGTATTATTAACAAATAAATTAAGGTCATTTCGATTAAATTTATTAATTTCTGAATCAATCTTTAAAAAGAATTGTAGAATACAACTCATAATTATATAATATTTAAGAAAATGAGCCAATCAATTTCTAAAAAATAATTGTTGTCATTTGTAAAAGGATAAATATCATTATTGTAGAACAGTATTAATTATTTGAACTAAGTCAGCAGGTATTCGTGATAATAATTATGGTCTAATGATTTTCCACATTGGTGTTTCACGGTAGCAGTTAAAATAGTTCAAATTAGAAGGTAACGAAAAAAGAACAATTTTTGTTTGAGTTGAAAAAGTATAAAAGTGAGATTAGTTAGAGTTTAATGAATATATTAAAACATTTGACAATAGATTCAATTTATATATTTTTTCTATCAAATGAGGTAACAAATCTGAAAACAATCTTTGACTAACACTCTTTAAAGGATAGCCTAAACTGCATAATAAGGATTACTGTTTACTATTTAATTTATATGATGAGATAGTTTAGAAATAGAACAAATTCTTATTATTTTACTTGTAGGACTCCTAGTACGTAAATTTTCAACTTTACACTTACATTGTACCATCATCAGTTGGTATGTTGAAGTCTAATTAACTGAACTTAGGGATTTTAATCATACAGACTATGACTAATCAAGCACACTGATTTATATAATCTCATTTGACATTTTAAGAGGTATAGGTCAGCGCATAACTTGACTTACAGAAGGTTAGCCATCGTCCAAACAGTTCAGTGATAATATCTCAAATTGTGAAACTGTCTGACATGGGTTTTAATCTATCAGAGAGGGCCATTTTTCTTAAGATCGCAAGTATATCATGCTCACAAAATCTCACCAATACCATGAATAAATTAAAAAACACGAATGAAAAAATCAAAGTCATTTCAACTTTCATTTATTTACTAACATCAACTAATGCTGATAATAACAACAGAATGTTTAAATGTTAAATTTGTTCATTTTCAGTTAAAATGATTTCATCTTCAATATGATGTGGAGAATTGTTTTCTTCAATCATTTCTTGTGGCGCTTCGACTTCATGGTTTCCATTGTTAAAATATTGGAAAATCCAATGGTTTTCTGAATATTTAATACATTCTTCTAGTTGACGAATTCTGTTGTTTAAATGAGTTAATACAATGAAAAAAAATCAAGTTTTAATTGAAATTACCTTTCATCCAAAGAATTTTCTTGTTCAACTTTTATCAAATCTTTAATCTTCCGTCTTTCTGCACATAATGAAAAAACATCGTTTTGTGCTCTACATAATGATAAATGCAAAACATGTTTAATTTTCATTTCAAAACGATGTGTTCTTTAATTAAGCTAAAATGAATTGTACATCTTCAAAAAAAACTAATTAATAACCTTTGTTAACAAAGTTCATCGTCTTATCCACATTGGTAAACGACTCATCATAAGTAGAATATCGATAGCAAAATGATTTATTCGTTACTGAATTTCTTCATAACGTTAACTTAACTTTTGACAAGTTCAATATAATTATATATAAAAATAACTGTATGATACTGTATTCTGATCATAATAAAGATAGAAGCACTGAGTTTTATACATGCAATTAACATTATAATCTCAGCTAGCATTTGTCTCATAGGTGACTGTGTATAATGTGGTTTAACCTAGTACAAAATCGTTAACATATTCTGTATTTGAATGAGAGATTGAAAGTAAAATAACGCAAATACCTTATCCTCTTGATTTGGATTCTTATCGAATTGTAATGTAATGATACTACAAGATTTCATGCTTTATTTAATGTAAATCTACAATCGTTCATTGCCCTACCAGTAGATTGTCACACAGATCGCTTTAAGCAATTCTAGAATTACAATTATATAACTGTTTTATAGTCTCAGTTCGTTGACCTTTGATAAAGTCTGAACTCAGTGACAGCAAAATAAATATGAAATAGTTTGTAAAGGCATTTATTAACAAATAAATTTTGCAAAGCATAAGCTTATGAAGAGTAAACGATCTACATTAAACAAACAATCGTGAACCCTGAAAATTTAAAAAGTTTAATGAAACTATCGTATCAGTGGAAAGATCATTAACTTATTACTTACTGGTTCTGGATTTTAGCAATACATTTATTGATTGCCCAATATTATGATCGTCTCGCATTGTAGTTTAGTGTAACCATAATAACTTAATCTCTCATACCTTGAATAAACTGTCGTGTTAAAGCAGATACATTTGTTCCTGTTTTAATGTAAGTTTGGTAATGTATGAAAGGATAACTGTTGATTTACCCTAATCCTACGTATATCAAATGTTAAAAAAATTTCATAGTTTACCAAGTTAGACGCTGTTTGCTGAGAAGTGACACGGGCTTCATGTCACTCAGGTTTTATTAATTTACTTAGTTTATTTTTAAGCTAAGCAGCTTACAAAATGAGGAAGAGATTTAACAGAAATAAGAGATGCTGCAGTTTTACTAACATAGTGAATATCCATCAAAAAATCACACTTTCGAAAATACTGAGACTAAAATCAGCTGGTGTTTATTATGTTGTGAGTCAGTCAGAGTCGAATCTTTACAATAAACTACCAACAGATCAGTTTTTGCTCATGATATCACCTATATTTTACATAAATACTCACTGATCCATGATTTAAATAAAAATCTTTATTTGTATTAACTATTTTCACCAAAAATAAAGATATACATGATTATATATATATATATACTTTTGTTCTTTTTGCCGTCTAATATCTTGTTTTCTTATTATTGTTTTTTTCTTAACTGAAAAGAAAAATAAATTAATTAGTTTGAAAATGATTAAATTAATTTTGCTCCAACTTTGTATATCTTGAATTTCTTCATTAATTTTTCTCAATTCTTCAACGGCTAAATAGTTACGGTAATGAATATTTATTATTCTCATATTACCTGATTCAATTCTACTTTTTAATAAACTACTCTCATTTTTTGTTGATGACAAGATATTTATTAACTTTTCTTTTTCTAAAGTTTACAAAGAAATTTTGTAAAAGATCATTAATAATCTACCTTGCAATGTTTCATTCAGGCTTTGTAGAAAATTCTTTGTATTTCTAGTATCTTTCTCTGCTGAATCCATTTTGAATCTATGTTTTACGATTAAAGTACTTCTTAGCGATTTTATCTTTTGCTCTGCTATCTTAGATAAAATAAACAAGAGTTACATGTGAAATAAATAAAATTTATTCTCATCGATGACAAATTACAGTTAATACGATATGACTTTTTAAAATATTAAACAGCAAGCACCATAGATGTTTGTTTGTAGAAGTGCAATACAGCAAGCTTTAATGATACTTTAGATTGTCATTATCTTAAGATATGACACAAGCATTCTGTTAATAAATATTTGAACAGTGAACTGGTTCGACATTGTTTGATTTGTGGTACAACTATTTTGAAAATACGATGTCTAATGAAAAATTCAAATTTTCTATCAGAGCAAAAATATTCTAATTATTATAACGACCTTGAAAATAAAGATCTGACCATTAAACAGAAGAGTTTTATATATTTGGTCTCGTACTGAAATGAAACGTTTTGTTGAATAAATTCTTATCTTTTCAATATTTTCAGATTACTGCTTAAGAAATATATTCATTTTGTATGACTTTTTAATATAGAAGAGTTTATAAGCGATGGAAATACGATTGACCATCAAGTGAAATTTAAAGTATATATTTTGGAAAGAGATATACATCAAACTGTTATGATAATAATAGTAATATAGTTAGAGCAAATCGTTTTGAAGCTTAAAATAATAGCTGTTTCAGTCGGTAATCAAAAAGTAGATTGCTCAGTTAAAACTCCAAAAGAACAGATGAGTAAATCAATTAATATGCTCCTATGCTTAGTGTTTCTCGTGCAGATATTGGCTGAAGCTGCCATAATGATTTCGTTTACTGATGAGATAGAATATTATTTCTGTTCCAGTTATTAAATTGATTCTGTTGACATTATATTTTCACAGTCATCAACGCCTGAACATTCACAATATCATACGAAAATTACTATCAACAAAAAAGAGACATAGTTATATACCTTTTCATTTCATGCACAAAAATAATCATAGGCAGTTGTAAATCAGAATTTTATTGAGTAATAAGACTTTCAAGGAATGTATTCATGAACTAAAGTTAATCTGGCTAAGTTGACATTTGCATAGAAATTTCACGTTGACTGATTCTCCTATTTTGTTACAGAGGATATCAATATGCAAGCATAAATGTGAGGAGTACCAGTGATCATCATAGTGTTATTTCAGGAGAAGCATCCTAATTCTCAGTTTCTTTTTATCTCAGAACTAGTGGCAAGTTTTAATCAACATGTAAACTAATGAATAAAGAAAATGTTTATTATTTAAGCATTACCGCGAAAGTAATGATTATGATTGTCGTACAATTTGTGTTAGATAAGTTAGACTAATTAGCAAGCTACCGAAAAAATGTTGCTGATACCTTGAAATTGTCATGATCGAATCCGACTCCAATGGAAAGTTTTTATTTTTACTTAATAGATATTTACTCCTATAAGTTATAAACCATTGGTTGAAAAATATTTCAATAAGCTCATGGTATAGTGTAAATATTTATCTGATTTTATTGATACAAATAAATCCCTGTACTTCTTATGACAGGTTGAAAAAACGAAACCTACTATAAAATATCTTAAAATACGTACACATAGTATTCAAATTTCTATTTGCATGTTCATCAATCGAAGCAGGTTATTGGCAGGGTCCTCACACGTCTCTTCTGTTCTCGAAAATACTTTAATTAGCTGTGCAACTCGATTTCCTGACACTTTTTTCCTCTAGTATGAACTTTCGAGCGGCGCTTTGCTTCATATTAATTATAAGACACCTTGTGAGTACACTAACCAAACAGATAATGGGCCCCAGAAGACTTTCTAGAGATTGGTCTGACTTTGATATTTTAACATAGACTTTGAAAAAAAGAACGTCTTTCATACACAAAGTATGATATAATTTTGTCTTTGATCTGAAGATAAATTGGTATTTTTGTCTTATTTAAAACGCTTTCTGGCCCCTAGAATAATTTTAAAGTGACATCAGCCTATTTGTACCACACATTATTGGTGAAACGTGATCTTTTACTTTACTTTTACAACAGAATGAGCAGTTCTCAATGGTACGATGTCAAAATTGTAGAGGTTTATGATGTGGCCCGGTGTAACATAGGTATGTGAAACAATAATACTGATTTGCTTTTGGTGACGAGTTTAAGATAGATTGTGTCCAGTTTAAGACCAAGCTTAGCCCTAACCAAAAGTTGTTGAAATTTCTTGAATATCATATAAGGAAAATGTTTTTAGATTAAGGTTCTCACTACTGTAGACTGAAATGTACTCAACAACTTGTCTTCAACCAAGCTCAAAGGTATAGCGTGGTGTGGTTTGAAGTAAATTCATAAAGAATTTTGCAACATAAAAAGAAATAATTCCAAAAATCAATAATAGTTTTACCCTACTGTTCTTTTTTTGCCGATACCTAAATTCCTGTCACCCATTTTCATTTCACCGGATTTGTCAAAGTCATTTTATGACCAGTTTTCATATAAATAAAGGTATATTAAAATTTTTTAGAAAACTGAGAGTTTTATCATCTTGATGTGAGCACTAATAGTTACGTACTGCAAAATATTCTTTGTATGAAAATCTCTCATTCATTTAGACTTTGAAGGTAGATAAGAGATGCATTCAACTGATTATTCTGCTATGACCCAAAGAAAAATCGAGCCTTTAGTTCTATCTCAAATAGTTTAAAAAGAAAAAACTTACGAGACTCATCATTTCCAAATGCTTATCGATCAACTAAATAATGTTCATTCTGCGCCTTATATATGTTAGTAAAGGCGCAATTTATTGGAGTGAAACCCAATACATCAAGCTAATTTCATGTTTTTTTATGTGGATTATCTAGAGGTGGTTATTCTGGTTGGTGAGCAATATCCATTGTAGAGATTACATCAGTTAATAACATCTACTTACAGACATTCTTTTAATTATCTCAGTGAACCCAACTCTATTCAACGATCACAAAACTGTAGACCTGTTTTTATAGCACAGTAATAACAAGTTGAGCATGAATCTGTATTTACGTTTATTTACAGGTATTGCATAAAGCAATGGACCTGTGAAATATGGAACAAACTTTGCTAGCCTCCTCGATTTTGAATCTTTTTGAAAACCAAAAATAATGAAATAATGTATTTGAGATAAACAACTGCGAAAATATGAAAACGTTAGTGTTTTCCACTGTAATATCTTTTGGTTTTACAACCAAAGAGGTAGAATATAACCTCATTTTAGCCAATGCCTTGTTTTTATCAAGAAAGGTATTTACTTTATCTCAACTCCATTTAAGCATTTGTTATCTTGGTTAATGACAACAAATAGCAATTTTTGATCTTAATCTCTGTCAAAGGTACTTGCAAGGACACAAATTATGTTTGCATAATAAATAAGCAGTGGTACCTTACAAAAAATACGCTTTGATTAAACCGTAAACTGATGTACTAAATATCAAAGCTATATAAAAAACTTAGATGGAAAAAGTTTACGAGGTTAGTAACTAGATAAACCTATGAGTTTAGCCATTTATTGTCAAAAATAAACCAGTAACATGAAACATTACTTGAATGTTATGCTTTTTCAGTAGGCTTGCATAATTTTAGGACTGTTTATCGTCAACTAGTTTCAACAATACGAAGTTAGGAATACTAATTAGAACTTGACATTTTATGATCATTTCTTAAAATTAAGTTTGTAACTATTAACTTTACTTAAAACTTAGTCTTCCGGATTTCTTCTGACAAAAAGGACCAGTGAGTATGTTCGGTCAAAAGAAATCTGTAATTTGATGGCAGCAGGTTCTATGCGTGAGGTAGATAATTGAATATGATGTATATCACTGCATAATCTCTTTTTTGTGGGACTAAAATTTTTTCATGCACTGAATTTTTAGTGTCAGTTTATCTTTCGTTACTGACCTGAGCTATCCTCGACCTACAATATGTGTGAGCAAATCCAAAATAATGATTAAGAGAATGTGATATGTATCTTAAAATATTAGCTCTTTAAGTTTTCGAAAAAATTCCCCATTGTATGTCGCACTGAAGAACACTTTATTTTAGTATTGAAATCTTTGCACTTCCCAGATTTTCGACCATTATATAAAACCACTTGGTTATAAAAGTCCTGAAGTAGATGATTTTAAAAATATGCATTCCGGAATAGCTCCACCTCCAATTATATATTATAATTATAAATTTAATCACAAGTAATGAATCTTAAACATTATAAAATATTTTTAGACCTGTTAAAACCATTTTTATTTCAAAACGTGTCATGAGACGTGAGATAGGCACGATCAGTGAAAGCATAATTCACTGACTTTCGTAATTTGACGAATAAGAATTAAGGTAGTGCCTTGTGTAGTCTGCTCTACATTTAGGGTTATTAGGAAGTAACTTGTTAGTTATTGTGAGCTGAGTAAAAATTAGGGAAATACAGTCCCAGAAGTGCTTGGAATCGATAAAAAGGAGTTAATGATAATGTTTTAGCCAGATTACGATGAATAACTGAGATCACTATTTGAAGCATTTACTGCATCTTAGTATGTAGCTAAGGGTATTTAATGAAGTTAAGTAGTATTCCTTTCTATCAACCGTTACTGAAACTCTTAACTTTATGCTCTATGAATCTTTCAACATAGGCACTTTAAAACTCGTTATAGTTGGTGATGATATTTTGTGATGAAAGCCTTGCTTGCAAGCCCATATATGGACCACAGTCAAAATTTTAATATCTAACCCCAAACTTCTGTCATCAAAGATAGTGTAAGTTGGCTTTATTCTGAATACTCACACTATGAGGAATAATACTAAATGTGAGGAGTGGCTTTGATGAACGAAGCTATTACCTCACTCATATTTTATTGCTTCCTGCTATTGATTGTTCCATAACTAAGTATTGTTATTTGCTTAAGTCTGTCAGTATTTTATGCTTTTACTAAAATACATGAAATATAAAAACCTTTATAGTTGCATTTGATTGTCATGGATATTCAGACTTGAACAACATTTATGATTTAATATGCTATAAAGATTCCTCAAT